TATATATATATATATATATATATATATATATATATATATATATACGCACGCAAATATATATAAATTATACTATGTGTATATGTAGATAAAAAAATCTCACCAATCATCAATATTTTTGTATTCTCGATGTTGAAGCTAGCTTTCAGTATTTTATGGCAAACCAGACATTTAAACAACGGCTTGAGGTGATAAATAGTTTCTTCAGTTTTAGATTCTATCTGAGAAAGTGGTAATTTACAAAAGTATTCAATCTCTGTATTTTCTTTTTTCTTTCCCTTTTCTGTTATCTCTACAGGCACTTCTTCCTGGTAAGTAGCGAATTTGTTGGACTCAGTATGCAGCATTCTAGACTGCAGATGCAAATCTAGACTGCTGAATTTGTTATTTGTATTGTTTATGTAACGTTCTGCGTTCTTTTGCACGTCTTCCACAATCAAATATTTGTTCGGCGAATTATGAAGTGACATCAAAACATCAATTTGATCAGGTATCAATTTGACATCCTGAGAGACACTTGGAAGAGTTGATGTTTGCTCTGTCACATCTTGAGAATTGTGTGTTGATGTTTCACATTTGACGTCTTCATGATTGACAGATGCTGGTTCTAGTACTTCAATAGATCTTATGGACTCATGTAACTTTGGTACAAAGGAATCCGATGCGATAAGAAACATTGTATTCAATGCAGTTCGATTCATATATGACATGGCCGCCTTCATAATTGCGATTTCAGAAAGAGTTATGTAAACAGCTTCTTCTTTTAAGCAAGAGGTGGAATTCTATCCTTCGACCTAGACTCAGACATAAATACTGTAGACATTGGTGTTAACGATATATTAACAGAACAAAAGGATTAACAGAACAAAAGATACACGCATTTTAGGTCTTTCTATTGTTGTTGCGGAATGAAAAGATGCTTAAATGGTGTTACACGATTGATAGCCGCAATCGTTGAATATTTTTCTACTCGATTTGCCTTATACTCACACAAAATCGTACGCGCCGTGATCGGTTTCGTATACGCCGTGTGCTCACCAATATTTTCTATCTTCTCGATGATTCCGCCGTGGTGACGAAGAGATCGTTGTTGAATTTGTATTATTATTCTGAGATTATTTTATCACCAGCCGCTTCTTGAAGGAAAATGTAACACGTTTCATCAGCGATAGCAACGGAATTCGAATCGTCTTAGAAACTTCTCGACTTTTAACGTTCATACGTCACAACTAAACACATTCCGATATATTCTCGTGACTAATGGTATAATTCTGTAATTTATATCAAATTTCTTCACCTCCGGTTAACTTTATTTATCGGTTAAATATCAACCGTGATTGGTTAACCGTGATTCTTGTTAACCATAAATATGATTTGTCTATTCCAATGAAATAACTCGTAGATAAACGGAGATAAAGAAATTGGATATTAACAACAGTGTCGTTATGTTGTCCTTGCGCAATTTTTTTATCATATATTATACTTATATATACTATACCTGCACAAAGCAACAATAAACAATTCTGTCGTTGAAAGTTACAAGATCGACTTATAAGCTACAACTCTCGACGCCCTATGATTACCAAAATATCTAGAACCTTCGATATATCACGCTTTGAAACTTTTCCGTTTCCTTTGTGTTTACACATTGGCGTAAACTTACATATCTTTGAAAGTGTTCGTTGAAATATGATTTTACAGTCAGCCCACACACACGTAGCTATTAAATATGAATAATTGGTTTTGGATTTTTTATAAATACTTGAATAGAAAATCGAAAAAGAAATTTGTAATATTTATTTCTTTGTTTCTCAAATTTCTCTAGATTAACGTCTCTGCGAATAAATAAGATATTTTCATAGAATTTCAAATTCTATCATAAGTCTTAATTGAAAAGAAGAATAAACTTTTAATTTTTGCGTCTAAAATAGAAAATTAAAAATTTAGTTCTTAACGTGCAATAGCAAATATACGATATTGTCGATATATAAATGACATCGCGAGTTAAACATCAGTTTCAGATTGTTAAGAAAAAATGATCATTTATTAAACGATCATTGCTTGAGTGATAGAAACACAAGACACTTAAGGTCTGTTTTCTATTGCTGAACTAGTGTACACTTTTGGAACTTAAAAAAGACAGATATACACGTAAAATTTGGTGGAAGAAAGTTGAGAGAGAACTAGCAAGGTCTGCAATAGAAAACAGACCTTTAGGGCCGATTGTTCCTCTTGGTAAGTTACCTGACCTCAGTTAAATCATATGTCTGTCTTCGATTTCTCTTCAAATTAGAGACACATGATTTAACTGTTAACTCTTGTTCCAAAAGATTCGAACAATAGGCTCTTATTGTACAATTAGTGCCAGAAAAGTTGTCCTTTCTTTTATGGCTTTCGGAACGTATTTATTTTGTCCAATAGAAGAATTGATTAAATAAGAGAATTTTTCCATTGGACAAGATGGATACGTTTCGAAAATCACAAAATCATCAATTGTCGGCTAATTTTTCCAATGTCGATTGTACACTTGTGTTCGGAAAGGTTTCTGGGATCTTATTCTTGAAAAATATCGCATACGATATTTCTATAAAATATCGTATGAAGCTATATTTCATATTACGTATATTATAGCTTTTTATCGAAATATCGTATACGATATTTTTCAAGAATACGGCCCCTGGTTTTTTTGTGAGTTTCGGAACCTATCCATCTTATATGATGAGAGAGCTCTTTTATTCGAAAATAAATTCTTCCATTGGACAAGAATCTATTTAGATTCTTACAACTTACAAACAAAAGCCAGACAACTTTTCCGACCATGAGTGTATGTACGTGCGTAGCAAATGCAATTTCGCGAGCTAGCTAGGATAGATAGCCGAAGTTATATTATAATTTATTGCTGGAGGCCTTTTAACTTTCGATCCTCGGCATAGATCTTCATCTGAAAGCTCACCAGCTCCGACGTTCTTTTGTGAAAATTAAATCGCGGATCCTTCGGGTGTATCCCTCTGTCATGCCACCAGCCATATCTAAAAATCATGAGTAGAGAGAGCGTGAGTGAAAACGAGGAAACAATAGAAACAGGTATTACGTGTGACTGGTCAGTAAAGGCAATCTATGCGAATCTCTGGGGTCTCTATTTTCCGCAGCGGCGATTTTCTCGACCGTTTCGCCGACGTCTACGTTTTGCTGCATCTCCTCGAGCTCTCTCGAGTAGAATTTCGGTGTGATGAAATCCGCTGCAATCGAACAATTCGTCATTCCCGCGGTGTTTATTACGGCGTTAGTATTGGCGATTTTCCTCGCGCGAATCCGCGACACTTCGATTATCATGATCACGCGGCAATCCATTGCGAGCTTCTCGCCGACTCGAGAAATAATAACCGAGCGATCTCATCGCCGAGAGAAGATTTCGCGATTGTCTTTCCCAAGTAGAACAGAAAATCACGATGATGTCAAAATGACAAAAGAATGATCGAATTGTGACTGAAAAGTGAATTTTTTAGTCATTTTCTCGCCATTTTGCCATCATTCTAATGTCGATTTTTGTTCTGCCTGGATTTTTCCTCATAAAATCTTTCAGAAAGAGACGAACTGGATCTCGTTAATATTTCGTAGGTTCAAGCAGACTGATTCATCGGATGTCTCTTCCAGCGCGTCTTTCGCGATCAATCGCGTCGTCTTTCTTTTTGAGGAGCAATTCTAAGAAGCAACAATTTTCTCGACGGTGAGAGAGAACTCGTCGAGTAGAGATTCTCGAAGTGGCGCGAAGCTGCGGTGGCGAATGAATATCCGTTGGTTCTCGAATATGCCGGGCATACCATTCATTCTGGACATGCGAGCGTTGGATCGGCCGATCTGCTGGTTCCTGGAGAAGCACAGTTTAAACGGCGGCCTCTCTGGCTTCTTAGACGTCACCGGTCTCGAATCGTTCGAGTCGCTCTGGCGTTCGGACATGTCTCGGACGCGACCAAGTCCTCGCCTTGCCTCGTCGCCGAAGATACTCGACTAAGGCTCTCCGCCCCCGGCTATCGGATCAAACCGTAAGTCGAGGACAGTCGAGGGCGGTCGAGGTTACCATATTTGATCGATATCCCCGTGCGAAATACGCAAACGGCCGAAAATAAGCGGGCGTGGGTGACACTTGCTGCGAGAAGGCGCGTCGCGCCGAGTTGTCACGGAATGCGCGACTCTCGGATTCTTCGTCGTTCTCGCGAGGTTTCGGGAAACAGTCGTCGGGAACTCCACATTTTGCACCGTATATTTGCCTCTCTTTATTCACGACTTGCCCCATTAATAATTCATATATTTCCAGTAAAGTATACGCGATTAATAATGGTTAGTCCGACGCGCACCGATATTACAAATTCCCTCTCTCGACTCGCTCAGTTTGCCGCTCCTCTGCCGATCTTAATAATCCTCCCTTCTTCCTCGTCTACGTCGTCGCGCGCTAAAAAGCCTTATCAAACACCTGTTCGCCGGTTAAAGTATTTAAATTTCGACGGAGGTCTCTCTCTTCTTCTCGACTAATTACTGCTATTCTAAGCAGAATCGTAAGTCTCGTAACTTGTTCTCGTAAAATTCGTAAGAACTTACAAGTAGATTTACAATTCTATGTATATTATATGTCGTACAATCACTTGTAAATATCGTAAATTATATGAATTGACGAGTAATCGTACGAGTATATGGTACATACAGAATTGTAGATCTACTCATAAGTTTTTACGAACTTTACGAGAGCAAGTTGCGAATCTTATGGTTCTGTTTAGAATTGCGGCATAAGTTTGCTCTTGTTCACGTTCTCTCGCACTCTCTCGAGCGCAACTTACGCGCGACGTTTTCTTTCCTCATGAAAGAAAGCATCTTGCAGAATGTATCCTCTCGACTTTTCCTCTCATTCGCTCGCTCGCTCATACAATACAAAAGGTCACATCCTTTCGAGGATCCTTTCGCGACGACACATCTTAGGACGTTGTTACAGCCGTCGCTTTTCTCGCTGAGATCACTTACGAATAATTCTTACACACACATACGGTATCTATATAGTATAATCATCTTTCTCTCCCTCTCTCTCTCTCTCTCTCACTCTCTCTCTCACTCTCTCTCTCTCTTTCTCTCTAAGAGCAAACTCACGTAACGCTTCATAAATTTTGGAAAATCAGCCACCGATAACGTTAACGCTATAAACTCCGGTCTCGTCCGCCGTGCTTTGTCGTGTCGCAACCGCCTTCGTCCATTTGGTATCGACGAGAGATGCCGGTGACACGAGTAAGATCGCGATTGGGTGTTACATGACGTTGTAACGAGGCTGCGTTACTACGGATATACTAATATGGTACAATACTGTTGACGCACAATCGAAGGTACGCGGAAGTTCGAGGATCATCTCCCTCGAGCGACAAGATGCTTCAATGTGTCTCGCTAGTCCCGAATCCGCGTAACTGCGACTGGACATCGGTAAAGGTCAACGATGTGAATCCTCAGGTGATCGGTGGGTGGACGATCGATCATCGATCTCGATTGGGGCAGGACATATTCTCAAGACCCGATCGCGAAGAGCGCCGAGTCCTCTCTCCAGAGGAGATACGCGAGATCCCGAGAACGTCGTTTGAGCGCCTCGATCGTTTTGATTATCACGACAGAGATCGGCAGTGCTTTTAGGATAGGAGGTGTGTGTATGTGTGTTTCCTCTCGCTGATTTTCCCTTTCTAGTTTCTCTCCTCGCGTATACTCCTTTTATACTCTTTTATACCCAATTCGTCCCGCGGCCATTCCTCGCGACCGACGCGTATCTTTCTGGCAGGACACAAGCGCGATCGGAAAATATCCCGCGGCTTGCAGCGCTCTCGCTCTTCTTCGTCGATCGGGACTGATAAAAATGCGATCGCGACTACCGTCCGTTTGTAATCGAAGGCGAGGGCGAGGACGAGGGCGAGGACGAGGGCGACATCGACGTGGTCGTTTCCTTCGCGGAGGAGGAGAAGGAGGAGGAGGAAACGACCCGTGACGGTTCCGTGACTACTCTCTGTAACTACAAATCGATCGGATGTTTCCGTCTGGTCGCCTTCGCCGATATACGTACATATATATATATATTTAATTTATATTTATATGGATGTTATATATCTTGAAATGAAAAAAAAACTGCGATTTGTACTCGTGTAATACGCTCGTGGTCGACTTGAACGTCGACGCGCAAGGACGGCGTGTATGGTATACGAAATTAAATATACGATCTCTCAGCGATCTCGTTGGCGTGATCCAGAATCGTGACCATGTCGAATGTATATATGCACATATACACACACACACATCACACATACTCATGCATACGTACATCTTCCCGCGGAAAAATCAAGAGAGTTGAATCTCGAAATCGATCCCGCGACAATCACGACAGCCAGCGACGTCGCGTCTCGACTTCGCGTCCTGATCCGAAGTCACGATAGAAATCGGATCCCTTCCAATCCGCCAAAACGAGTTCCTATCTTCGACATGAGCACGATTTTACAGAGGTATTCGCGTATGATATATCTATATCGTGCCTCGTGACCTGAGATCTCGTGAGACGTGAATCCTCCTAGCTCCGACAATTGTAATAGCGGACGAGACACGATGAGATTCGACATTCTCCTCCTCGGATCTCGCTCGGTTTTTCGCACGTGTACCGCGTCCCTGTCGTGAGAATCTCTCGAATAATTGATCGATCGATCGATCAATCAATCACGTGAGAAGGAGGAGACGTGTGGATCCGGTGTCTCGACTCAACGATTGCAAAACAATGGCGCGAACCCGCCAAGAATGTCAAGCGAATCGGTAAAAGAAAAAAATCGAATGCGTTATCGAGGGATATATGTGTATGTGTATGTTGTTTGTATGCAGAGGAAAAATGCGTGTGAAAATAAAGTGTCTGAATGTTTCACTTAAAAAATATACATTTTAATGATCAATATATCAGGAATTAATGACAGATCGTGTATTTGTTTTTCCTTATTTTCCTTCTTTTTTTTTCTCTTCGAATCACGCCATTGCCGGATTGCAATCAGATTCTTCGTTTCTCTCTTTCCCTCCGGACAATTCGTGTCGTCGTAGGAATTATTACTGTTGCTCTCATTTTAGCGATCAAAAGCCAATCGCGCGCTACGAGTACTCTCGCTTCCTCGGACGATCGTACGCATCAAATCGTGGAGCGATTAACTTAGCGTGTGTGTCTTCGTGTGTTTTACAGATATAATAAAGTTCTTTTGTACGTTCATCATCCAGTCTCAACATTTACATGTTTCGCTCTAGGCTAAGCGCGCGCCACTTAAATACGAATAAAAGTATACTCGAGAAACTAAGCGCCTCTCGTGCTCACGACGTGATATACCTTCAAGTGTTTCAAAATCGCCCGCGTTCGAACGAGATATCGAAAACGTAAACGTTTCTCCAGCGATATCTTCGTTCTTTTTAATCGGAAAATAGTCCAATTTCGTGATAATAAAGTCGAAAACAAGAAAAAAAGAACTCCATTTAAATTATTTTTTTCAATCCTCCGGATAATATCGAAGGAAATGTAGTGAGAACACGTATTCCGTGTATGTAAACTGAAAACTACGTACATGAGCACGTTTTTTCGTGTGGACTTTGGCCCTTTTTTTCTCTCTCTCTCTCACATCTCTCTTTCTGTCTCACAAAATCTTTCTTACAATCTCTCTCTCTCTCTCTCTCTCTCTCATACACACATACACACAAAACAGAAGAGCGACTCCAGTTTACAAAAGTGTCTAATACTAAGCGCAGTAAGATATCGCACCAAACGCAAGAAATGAAGGAGACGCTGTTGTCTTCCACGATCGCGTCCCGATCTTTTTTGCTTCATCTCTCTCTTACAATACAAGAAGTACAAACGTGATACGAATGTTCGAGTGATCCCGAGACGGGAACGACCGTTGGGACGAGCGGCTTCTCCTTCCTTTCCTAAGCAAGCTCCGTCTTCTCCTCAACCGTGTCAAAAAAATATATCGTATGTCTTTACTACATACAAGTGGGTATGAAAAATAAAAAATATTTTTTGGCCATTTTTTCTTTTATAACAATTTTTTTGGGAGATGGGAAGGAAAGAGGAGGAAGGAGGGAACAAGGAAATGAGGAAGGCTGGAGAGTAGGCAAGGAAGTAGGCATGCACAGAGCAAGGTAAAAGAACTTGTTTTTCTATAGAGAGATTTTTAGAAAGGAATGTTTGAATTTTTTTGATGATACACGATGTTAAAAGAAGGTCAGTTGAGAAGGCCATAAAAGTGGAGAGGAAAGTGCTTAAATTTTCTTATCTTTTCCCTTTTCAACGTGAGGTAAGGAAAGTAGCGAGAAAGATCAGCTAGGTAGGTAGGTAGGTAGGTTTGGCAAGTAGATAGAGACAGGTAGGTAGCTAGGCAGGTACGAGGATAAGGAGGTAAAATTTGGGGGTGGTACTACTTATCAATCTACTTTTTTAGGATATAGGCACTATAGCTACTAGATAAATCTTATTTACATTCTCCAGTATTTTCACTCTTCCACTGTCGATCGTTTACATCGACTACGCTACGAATAATAAGTGACCGAAATTGTATCTCGCATCAAGTTGTCGTCGCACACTCCTATCTTTCTCTCTGACGCGGTTGCACGCGGTGCGTGTGTGCAAACGCTCGTCGAAATCAGAAATTATCGTGACAATGTGTGAACAATGGACCGTATCGCGAGCTAGTTCTGATTAGTCTTCGACATCTCTCATTTCTTTTCGTCGAGAAAGAAAGACGCGTCTTCTCGCGAGAGATGTGTCCAACCGCGGATACTAACGAGCATTGCCATTGTTATTCGCGAAAAAGAGAAAGACACGACAATAGCGGGGTTTTGCGACGGGAACATAGTGCTCTACAGAGTGTGCAGGCCGGAAGATGATGAGAGGAACGGGATATGCATACCGTTTGAAACATTTAACAGGTGATTGCTCGTTTCTTCTTTCACTCCCCTTTCGTCGCGCCTCCATCTTTCTCTCTTCGAAAGAAAGTGTGACATAAATCTCCTCTCCTCGCAGCGACGCTCGTTTCTGCGACAATAGAATCCCCGCACTTTAGGCGATGGGGACGACTGGATTGGCACGACGCGCGAACGTACGTCGTCGTCGACGACGCGTTTCGTCGCTTACTCGTTCATGTCTTTCGTGATATACATTCTCTTTCGCTCGGCAAAGGAAACCTACGCATTATGTATCGGGAAGAGAATGAAGAATGATAACGTCCGTATATTTCACGTGTACTGCCGACCGCTGCGTTATAGCCGACCGTGCGAAACCCGACCAATGTATTGTATGTATCGTCGCGTATGTTACGTCGTCCACCAGCTCCTCTCCGGACGAAGAAACGCCGCGCCGTCGCTTCAATCTCGAGCGACTTTAAAACGACTCATAGTTTCATCTGTCCCAAATGAAAAAAAAGATTACTCGCGAGCGTTGCGAAGATGTAAACGGATGAAGACGGGAAATGTGATGATTTCGCAACACGATCGGTACGACTCAGCGGTGTTCTTAGGTCGGAGATACGCAGAAAAATTTAAATATTAGAAAAATTGACTGATCATAGTCGACGATTCTTTTTACAGTCGAAGAACAATCAAAGAAAAAGACTATGATTGGTCAATTTTCTTATTGCTCAAGTTTTTCTGTGTGTCCGGGTCCTTACGCTACAAACTTCTGACAAGATCCTGTTCAAGTTGGGTTCTTCTCTTATGAGGCTACTAGTTAGTTTTCCTCTCCACGTGTATCACACTCGCAGGCGTACACGCGTATGCACACAATTCTTTTTTTTCTCTCTCTATCTCTTTAATGCACGCGTATATATGCACACACGCACATCCATCCACTCACTCTCGCGCGCTCTATTGTACAATCTTATATCCATTAACGCTTAACAGATCTGTATTATGGCCATTTGTATTTTTTTCTTTTCCTTTTATATTTTTTTCCCTTACACAGCATACTGACACACTCGCTCTTTACTTTTATACTCCCTTATATTATATATTATTTTAAAGAAAAAAATAAAAATTAAAAAAAATAATTCTCACACACATACACACACACACTCGAGCTCTATATTTATGTTTTGCCGAGACGCACACTCTTCAATTTCGTCACACAAATCGTCGCGGCCATGAATGATATTTAAGAAAACCTCTTCCATTCACATTGTAACACTCTATAGAAAAGATAAAGGACAATTTTGTAGTTCTTTCCCTTTTCTCGAGCGTATGCTTGATTGCTTAACACGTGTAATGCGACACACTTCGCACTTCGAGCAGGATAATGAGATAAACTCTTGGGAGAGAAGAAAAACAAGCGGAGAAGTGTTTTTGATAAGAAAAAGAAAGATTGTTACTCGGAAAACGTTGTAGTGGCGGGCGCACTACGGAACGACGAATAAAGGAACGACGCGAAAGAATTCTTTGGCCTTACGCGAAGAGAGAGGCCGATATAAAAAAAAAAAAAAAAATAATATATTAATCTTCCAATAATCTTCCAATATTCCCCTTAAGGTAGCTCACGTTATATATATTGCTTTCCACATCTGCACATCATAGTTTTCTTTTATTTACACGGATGTAAATATATATATATATACGTATATGTGTATATATGTATATTTCGCGCAATAACTCTCTTATCCAGGCTCGTTAGACGTTAATCTTACCGATACTTACAAAGTACAAAGAAGACAAAAGTTGACAAAAGCCGATATTCGCCGTGTTCTAATATAGCAAGCGAATGACTCTCTACGAAAGTTTTCGATGCGATCGTAATGTACAAACGCGTAATGTTAGCGGGCACGGCACTCCAGCGGTTGTGCGTCTCCTAATGGAGGAAGAATATGAGGTGTCGCGAAGGAGCGCGTCCTGAATCGAGCATACGTATACACGACGTCACAACCCTAGAGATTCCGTACACGCGTGAACGTTACAAATAGCTCCTTACACATCTCTCATCCTTCTCCTCTCACCTCTCGCGGGTGTAATGTATAATCACGTGCGCAGCATAATTTCTCAGCTGCCCTGAGTAAAATCCGTCCGCCACATCGGCACGAAGAAGCGAATGAAAAGGAAATTCCCTTCGCGTACATATATGTTTGTGCATATATTATTCTGCTCCAAGGTAACGCGCAATAAAGAAATAAGAGAACAGACGTCGCTACGATCAATTATTCCCCCGGACCCGAGCGAAAAGTGGAACTCACGCCGTTTTTCGTTTATGCTTCTCGTGTTATTCGCGTCTAGACGAACGCAGAGAAACTAGAGAAACGCAAACAGCTCGTAAAAAGGCTTGGCGCGTTACCGTGGGTGGATGGGCCGACGTTAAAACAACTCCTGGTCGATAAAACTCTACAAAAATACGCAACGCCAATCGATAGATGATTCGTTGCCGACGATTTAACAGCTGAGAGATCTGTTATTAGAGTGGCTGTATTTTCTCCTCTTTATCTCTGTTTTTTAACTCTCCCCTCTCTATCCCTTTTAATACCGCGTAACCTGTATTGTACGCCCTTCTCGAGAATATCGTCTTGAAATCTTGTCTCTTACGACCTATCGCGCTTTCACTAACCTAATATGAGCAAACTATAATCTGCACCTGTGCGCCGAGATACGCTCATCACTGGTTTGCTCTGCTCGAAATATACATTCACATGGCTCGAATATACTTCAAACAATATCAAAAGTGCGGTAAAAGGAACATCATTCGTTCTCGGTTGTCGCGTCCACCATTTCTTTTTCTTCCTTCTCTCATTTCTTATTCATATATGATTCCTGGGCGAACAAATAAAAATAACATTTACGTAAAAGGGGTGTTCGTGCGTTCGATGGCGCGTGAACTATCACGATCTTGAGGGTCCTTTCTCTCTTTCTCTTCCCTCATTTTTTTCATTTTTTTTTTCATTTTTTTTCTTTTTCTTTGTAATCTGCCTGTCTACACATGAACGCGCGCGTACGTGTGTTACTCGACGTGCACTACCATGACGAAAAGAATAAAGGTTCGCGCCAACGGCGGCTGACGCAACCATATATTCTTTCGAGTCATCTCGCAGATCGCGACGCTGACTCGCAATGACGTCGATGTGTATGAATGAATGAAGCGTGGACTCAGTATATGTACGTGAATTTCTGACACGTGTGTGTGTGTGTGTGTGTGTGTCTGTGTATGTAGATGCTGTTGATGCGCGTGTTGCGTAGATACCTCCTATATACTGTACAATATGCAACGTATAACTGTACATATATAAGCTGCGTGGAATAACCGATGACACGCAGCGAGGATGATTTTACAGCGTTAGATGTAATCAGATTTGCTTTTATTTCCAAAGAAAACGAAAGAATTACTCGCGCGTACCGCGCAACGTCGTAAGTGGAAGTCAAACTGTGACGTACGATTTTTTTTTCCTGATCAAGTATCGATTTTTACGTACCGCAGCGCGAGGTACACTTGTGAATGCGCATACAGCGCATATCGTTATTAAGCTACAATTAAGATTTACACTCTAAACAAAATCGTACATGGATATATATGTATATATATGTATATATATATATATATATATATATATATATATATATATATATATATATATATATATATTTACTCTTTTTTTTTAATGTTATTTTAGTATTTACGTTCTCTCTATGTAACACGTCATAATTATTACCGATTGGTTAAAAGTTAATATCAGGCGATTGATGAGACGTAAAGGTAAAGGATTTTGGACATTGGAAATAAAAACATCTGCTTATCATCCGAACCGTACGCTAAAAAGGAAAGTTTAAGACAAAAAGAGGCTTACGGCTACTGAAAAAAAAGAAGATAACGATATATTTTGTTTTTCTCCAATAGTTCTCGCGACAGGATTTTACAGAATTTATCTCGTGAGTCATTGATGTGTTTGCCGTCGTAACTGCTATTGTAAACGATCGAGCCTGTTCTCATCTTATTCGCGTATCCAATATATCTTCGTCTGCGCAGAGTCAGAGACTCAACGACGCTTTCGCTTTTACATACTATCATTACCGATCTAAGCCGTTGGAAAAAGTATTGTACAATTTCGCGTTCTCGCGCGTGCAAGTTACAAAGAGACAAATTATACTGTAGCGAGAAAGGACGATAATTTTTCGTTACAACGACCTCTTAGCCACTCGGGGATGCGATTACCGCTTTGCCGGACTGACGTTCGAGCAGATCCGAACGCGCTTTCAGACGACGTTGCATCAGACGGCTTTCGCACGGTGGTGACAACCCGAACAGGTGCAGAGAGTCCTTGCCAAGGACGCGATTCTTCCCGATGATTTTAGGGTCGCTTAGATCGATGTTGGAGAGCACAGAGGAGGACGACTTCTGAGTTCGCGTGGCATCGAACTCGCTGGAGGAATGCGTCGTGAAGTGCTTGCTGTTCTCGGACAGTTCGCTGCTAGAATCGGACATGTGCCCGTACGGGTGATTATCGTCGTCGGTGGACGACGTGGACAGTCGCGGCTCCCTGTTCTCCGCCAAATCCTCAAGGTTCAGAGAGAAATGTTGAAGTACCACACGATTCACAGCCATTGCAGACTCAGCGAATGCTGAGAGTTCTCTAGCGGAGTTGTTCCTCCTGTAAGGATAGATCAAAGTAACGACCGTGTAATTAAATAGTAACAAGAAAAAACGCTAATAAAAAAAACAAAATTTTCAATTTCGAGATCAATTAAATGAAATAAAAAAAACTCACCTTATGATATGAGGCGTGGTAAGCGGGCGATCGCAAGTTTCGACGGAGGTCGGTCCAGGATTGATCCAAGGATGTTTCAAAATACTATCTGCACTCAGCCTTCGGTGAGCCTCCTTGACGAGCAAGCCTCTGATCAAGTCCTTCGCGTCCTCAGAGATGCATCTCCATTCCTTGTCCGGGAACTCGTACCTGCCCTCCTGAATGCTGGTGAAAAGCAACTCCTGACAGGCCTGACAGTTCTCGCCCCTACCCCAGCCGCAGTCGGTGCCGCAGTTCCCGTAGAAAGGTGGATAGCCGCAGAGCAAGATGTACATGATCACGCCAAGACTCCAGAGATCACAACGCTTGTCATAATAATTGGCCTCGCCGATAAAGGCCTCGACTACCTCTGGCGCCATAAACTCGGCGCTACCGACCGGCGTCAAAAGTTGCGGTGTAGCCACAGGACTTGACAACGAATTGTTGAACTTGATGCCTGAACCGAGATCGAAGTCGCATACCTTGATCGGTATCAGTTTGTCCGGGTACACGCACAAGATATTCTCTGGCTTGAGATCTCTATGGGCGATCCCTAAAATACACAAAAGGAAATTGTTTCACACTTCTATTATTCCCGGTTCTATTCCATTTTTATCAAAATTGTTCGAAAAATTACCTTTCTTATGAAGAAAGTTGAGCGCGCTCGCAATCTCATTGACAATCTGACTCGCCTCCCTCTCGGTGAAGTGAACTCGCTCCTGAATTCTGTTTAACAGCTGACCACCGTTAACTTTCTCGAATACAAGGTAGAACTTCTCTTCGTCCTCAAAGAACTCGATCAGCTGAATGATGTTCGGGTGACCCTGGCAATGATGGAAAGTCTCGACCTCCTTGAACACCCTGGCACGAGCATGCCCGGGAATCTTGTCGATGATCTTCACGGCATATTCTAAGTCAGTGTAGAGGGACGTACAGGTCTGAACTGAGGCATAAGCACCCTCACCAAGTACCTCACCGGTCAATTTGTACAGTTCTGTAACAGCGATAACGAATTCCTCTTCAGATAAGTATCTCGCAAAATTTAAGTTAAAGAGAAAAATGCGAGAAAACGACGAAATATTCTCATTTATAAGTGTTCGTATTTTGCACATATCTCACGTATCATTCGTACACTGCTTGCATAAATCCAAAGTGACGGTGATACATAAATTCATCGTGGTGAATCAATACGATACTCATTTGGCATGATATTGCGCGTCGTCCTATGAATACTTTTGACGATTACGTCGTCACATCGTTCCAAGTCACGTCAACGTGTGTGGAACGAAAAAAAAAATAAAAGATAGGAGAATTCAGAGACCGGGCCCGACAAGTTCTCATCATCATCATCATTATTATCATCATCATGATAATCATCATCATCATGACTATCAGAATCTTACTGACTGTTACAGAACTACGGTATTATAGCGCAAACTGCGAAAATTCGGGAATCGTGCCAACATTGAGTCAATAATGAGAAAGCGAAGATGTCAATGGTCTTTCGGCTTGAAATAGGCAGACGCGAAAATTACTCCCAAGCTCGAAATAAGAACTTTACCCCGGCGAGCCGATCGATACGCTCAGAAGGCCCAATTATCCGCAGTTGAAACGGACTGCTCTCTCGAACGTGTGCTGTGCGCGCGTGACAGAGTAGCGTGTCGTATATCCTGACGGGCAGTCAATGTCAAGGTCGAAAGGGGGTGACCGAGAGAGATCAGCGCGGAACTACGACGCACATAACACCGAATTCGCCCTCTCTCTCGGAAGTGCGCGCTATCGCGGCTCCTTTCCTCTTCACTCCGTGAGGCCCCCTCCCTCGCACGTCTCTCACCGCTCTATCCCCACCACTTTGCCGCTCGAGTGCTACGGAGCTGGCTGCGTTGCCGCGTCTGCGTCGTCGTTCCCCCCCTGTGAGCCCTCCTCTAGCTATCCGCCTGCCGTCCCTCTGCCCCCCTTACCCAGCTATCCCCCTTTTTGCTTCCTCCGCTCGGTTATACGCAGGATACGAGAGTTGCGCGTGGCAACGTCGCCAGCGCCTAGCAACCAGAAGCCGATAATACGCCTCCGCGTCTCTCTACGCCGTTCTATACCAATTTTAACAGCGCGCGGTCGAAATAAATATAGAGTGCTCGAGAATTGCGCGCGATCGTCGACTCGCGCCGAATTAAGCGCGCCGATTCGCCTGAAGCGATTTAGCACGAGGGAGCACGTGTAAGATCGATTGCCGCGATCTATCACCGCCTGTACAATGGATACTACACTATCTCTTTCTCTCTCGTATGTGGAATTGTGTCTTTGGTAGTCCTACGCGATCAACCAGGATTCCGCAGAAGCGTAATGGGAATCTCGCACTATCGATTCGCTCTGGATTCTCGACCGAGCTCTATCGACCGTTGAGGGTTATATGCACACAGTGCCAAGCAGGGTAGAGAAGCTTCTAGAACTCTCTTGAATCGACCAGATGATGCAACCGGCCGATCGATCAACCGGCCGACCGGCCGGCCGGCTATTCGACCGAGGCACTGAACTCGATCAGCGTTTACATCGCCAACCGGCGGCACAAGCCACGGCGACGCTGAATGCAAATCACCCTCGCGCAAAGTCGAGTAAACTCGTGCCAAAAAATGTATGCCAAAGGAGCGGGTTTGTCCCCCAGCGGGCCAGGGATGCTATCGATCGCACGAGCGAGTGACTCCGTGGCCGAATAACCGTGTTTGCCAACTGCGGCTCGGATTAACTCTGATCTTCCGAGTTCTCTCGGAAGCAAGATTTAACTGTCGGTTAAGAACTTGTACGAAGAAACACGCGCGTTTTTCCTAACAATGAGAAACGATAGTAATGAGACGGTTGAACGCCTCTTTAAAATTGCATTACGAAACGGAGGAAGGTTTTACAAAGAGACGTTCTGTAAAAAAAAAAAAAGAGAAAGCAGCAGTAAGCAAAGAAAAATGGAGAAAACAGTTGGAAAAATGATTTACAAAAATTATTTCCAGAGTAAACGTTTACGCAGGAGATGCTCTGTAAACGAAGGAAGGGATAGCAGGTGGAGAAAATTAAAGAAAAATCGAAGAAATGAGTGAATTGAAATACTAGAATTTATGACGGTTATTATACGTTTTAATCGGTTTTCGGCTTTCATTCTTTATATTCAAGGATCTAGTCTGAAAGAGACATGTTCTCCGAGGCTGGAATTTTCTGGAGTCATTAGTCTTTAGACGCTGGGAGACGGGAGACAAAGCGATTCGTTCAAGTATTTCCGGGTGGGGATAAAGGGACAGAAAACTGAAAGGAGAAGCTCGCGAAGTAGGAGCGACGAACTTCCGGTGTTTATAAACAAGCAGGCGTATCGCGGGACGCGCAAAATTCCGGGGCGCCCGCTGCGCGATCGATTATCGCTGCCTCTCACGCGCCATCGCGGGTGTTTCTCGAGCGTTCCGAATTTGTCCAAGGTCACACGCGCACTTACTAGAACCACCAATTGCCGCGGGGCGAAAGACCGCGTCACACGGAAATAGGCGGATGAGTGCGTACGTGCGTGCATGCATAGAATCTTTACAACACCCGCTCTTTTTCTCTCTCTTTATCCTTCCCTTATCTTGAAGTAAGATACATCTAGCTGATTCCATGAATTTCCACAAAGATGCACTGAGAATAAAACACTTGAATATTTATCTGTGTAATATATATAAAGTTTATTCACAGAAATAAACTCTGTCTCAAAAATAAACTTTGTTTCACAATAAGCTTTATATTGCACAAATAAATTGTAAAAAAGTTTTCTTCTCAGTGCGCGTGGGTGTATTTTCCCTACCCTCTACAGTAACACTAGTGGATCATTACCTTGGAAGCAGGAGGACACCAAGGACGAGCCGGAACGTCTCTTCCTGCGCCTCTTACGTCTCGCCTCTTCTTGACGGGCTTGCACCGCACTCATAGATTCTCCCGTCGAGACTGCGTCCCGGCAGGTGCCGTCACCTGAAACGAGCATAACAGAGTTGGTTCAGAAACACGTGCGTTTTTCCTAAAATGATGAGAAACAGTTTCAATGGGATATGGTTGAACGACTAACATTGCATTACAAAATAGAGGAAAGTTCACAAAAGGACGTTGTGTAAAAAAGAGAAAGCGATAACAGGCAAAAAAATAGAGAAAATAGTCGGAAAAATGATTCACAAAAGATTCCCGGAGTAAGTGTTACGCAGAGACGTTAAATAAAGGAAGGGATAACAGGTAGAAAAAAAATACAGAAAAGTCGAAGAAATTAGTGAACTCTAAATCTTTGTCGTGTTCGATACATCTCTCAGCTCTCTTGGCAATCGCGATCGGAGGTTCACGACAGGACAGCGTTATGCGAACGAGGAGTAAACGATTGCAAAATAAATCACCGACTCCGCGAGTATCAATCTGTCCGTACGTTACATACCTCCTGCAGAGCACAAGAGTAAGAAAGAGCGAGAGAAAAAGAGAGAGAGGGAGGGGGAGGGAGACGTACACAGTCGTTGCGCAACGGATGTGTTTATTTGCGGACAAAGTAGCTCGCGTATCGCGGGTTGGTCGGCCCGCCACCACACGTGACGGACTCGCGTTTTCCCGTTATCGTGGCGTTAGTTGCGCGCGGGCGCACGCTCGAGCGATCGTAATTTATTATTGCGAGCTTATCGACGTCGCGGTATCATCGTGCGCGACGAACGGCGGCGGTGTGGCGACGGCGGCGGTGTGGCGACGGCGACGGCACGAAGTATTAGTCACTCTCGCGGGTTCACGCTCGTTCACTACCCACCGTTCGCGCGATCGCAGCTTGGCGATAACTTTCGCTTCAATCCGGCTCAATTCGACGGAAAACAAAAAACTACGAATTACACTCGCAATTATAAGTTCAAGTGCTGCCGCGAATTTTTTTTCGCAGATACAGCGAACTATGTTCCCCTCTTGCAACCGTGACCTAACCTAGACGGGTATAAGAACGGGTGTCTACAATGAGAACTTAAGCCATAAGACTTGAGCTTCAAGCCTTAAGAAATTGATTAATCACAGTTGATTATTTTCCTCATATTTGACTGTGATCGATCAATTTCTTACAGTTTAAATCTTAAGTCTCGTGACTTAAATTCTCATCGTAGACGCTGCTTAAAACATGTGGCACGAGCCGATTTAACGATGTGCTTTCGGCCGACGTTTGCTCCGATAAATATGATGCAACTGTTACGAGAGAAAATAAGCGGCCGCCGCGTCGTGTAAGCAGGGGGACGACTTCGCATTCATCGAGTTGCGCTCAGTCTCTTTATGAATAAAGCCGTACACTCTTAATAGTCCAAGGTTTAAAATACTGCTCGCTCCGTTATAATTATCGACAGTAGACGTTGACGTGTCTTCGGCTATTTCCAACGTGTGCGATAAAACAACACGTTTTAGGTTTTTACATGCGGATTATATGATCAGAGCACGCATGTCGTTTATTGCTTCCTGAATGAAACGTAAACAAGGCCGATTCGCGTCAATGAACATCATGACAACAATTATAATCCGAATCCCGAACGGAATAGATGAAAATTAATGGTCGCCAAGCGACAGATATTATTGAGAATCCGTTTTATCGCGCTCGCTCGTTGGTCGAATATTTCGGGCTCCTGCCGCCGCGGGGGATTTCATCGTGGGCGCTTCCCTCGCGATAAAAAGCGAAAGGGGAGAGTGGAGGGAAGCCCGGGCGATCCCTCTAGGGGCGAGTCTCGATTATACCCGTACTTTTGTAGCCGTCCGAAACGGGAAGCCTGCTGCGCCATCATCGATTTGGCCGGAGGGAGTAAATGAAAACCGGGAATAATTTCGCCGCGCACTCGTGTGTGACAATAGCAGAGAGCGCCTCTAGAAGCTTCACTCGTCGCACGCATAGCTATGCTCGAAGCTGACGCACACACGTGGAGACGCTTTAAATAACACCGACCGGTCGCGGGCCGTTGGGGCGTTTAGTTACGGAATTCGTGTTGAGCCGTGACGATTGATCGAATATTTGCGAGACAAGAAGTCTGTTCTTTGTAGCTGCATTGCTGAACTGGCGAAACATATGAGTCAGAGTGAGAAAAGATACAACTGTGTGTATGCGTCTCACAGTTTTAAGCTTGTCGAAGAACTTTTCAACTAGTGCAATGAGTTAAAGTGAAACAAAGTATGCTTATTTCATTCAACTTATCGCACTGGTTCTTCGAACAGACCTTCTAACATTATTGCAATATTAATTCAGCAGCTATAAAGAACAGATTCGTCCGAAATCGGACGACTCGAGGACGAGGTGGCGCGGGCGACGTAATGACGATTTCGCGGCGCGGTCAACAAACACACGCTGCGACACGCAGCTTTTCTTTCTGTCTTCGCACTTTCTAATTCAGCTGCTAAAAATGGGACTGCTGGTCGCGCCACACGACCGATACCCAGGCGTCGTGCCGGCAGTTCGGTGTTTCCCTCTCTGTTCTCTTCTCGCTTGGGAAAGTTCACTCGCTGCAAGAGCCCGAGAAGGCGCAGCTCCGCGCCGAGAGGCCGGCAATCGGGACGCGATTCACGATCTTCGTGTTAACGGAGATAATGTATACGGCGTGGCAACGGCGATTTACGCGAGATGTATATCGTCGGCCGCGCGACCGACGGGGTCACGATATTTCTACCGCGATGTTTCCACGAGGCGACGAGATCCTGTCACGAGACCGAAGTTGGGCGTGCAAGTGTCGCTACCCGATCGAACGAGTTATCCGAAACGCCAAAAAAAAATGCTTTGCCGATCCAGGTGAAATTCTACATGTCGCATTTAAAATTTATTGTTGTTCCTTTTTTTTTGTATCTATATGATACTGTCTGTGATACGTATCTGTATAAAATTGTCTGTGGTACGTAGAATTTACAGCAACAGCACTGTGGCAATATCCACGAGCAAATTTAGGTGAATGTGAATATTAAAATAAAAGTACCAATGCCCGCGGACACGTATCTGATCATTCATTTTGTGTTTTAGTCTTTAAATACAAATATTTAAACTTTTAATATAAAAAATATATATACAAATATTGAGTATATACATACATTCCATGTTGAACTTGTACATTATTCTAGTAATGTTTTTCTTACCTTACATTCGAATGTCTCTTGTTTTTTGTCTACCATAGTCTACTTGTATAAAAAGTATGACTGGCTTTAATCTGAACGTGGCGCCACAAAGAGACTTTAAATTTCACAAATAGTTTCAACAGAAATTCAGTGTTTATGTTATCTACATTAATTAAACACAAAACACACGCGATATCGTAGTGTCTCCTAGTCATTTCTGCCAATTTCTGGTATCAAGATAATCTTTCCTACGACTGCAAGAGCATTTCTCGGAGCGGACAGATGCGTCCGCCGCGGCGCGAAATTGTCGGTTCCCCCCGACGAAATCTCGAAAGGTTGCGCATGAAAAGATTACATAAACGCATCGCGAATCCGTTAAGATAACGCGCAGATCGCACAGTCGCTCTATTAATAACTCCCTGCGTCTCTCTGAGCGAGAGATGCTGCGAGTCGAAGAAGACGCGTATTGTTCGCGTGGGCGAAGCCGTCTCGCGGCGCGATACGTAGCGTGCAACGGCGTCGAATGACAAAGTACAGAGTGCGAGTGAATCGACTCCGCCACTCCTTCGAGAGTGGACAACCACCGTTCGCTCGAGCCGCTCGCGTGGGTCGAGGAGAAATCAGAGCCGGCGAGTAGATCGAGAACGACGCGTAACTGTAAGCCGATCGACTCCTCTCCTCATTGTCCGCGCCGATACGCGCGCGCTCGCCGCGTAGCTGACATGTCGTGACGATCGCAAGACGTCGATTCGAACGTGTTCGATTGCGGAGAATCGGCATCGCACGAGTTACATCGAGAGATGTGCGATTTAGGAAATTGCGTATCGCGATGCGTCATCTTTTTTAAAAATTGCATCACAATAGTGTATCGCAAATATAATTTTAAATCGCGCGCGCAATTTCGTATCGCAAATGCGATTTTGAATCATGAAGGAACATGGAGCATAATGGGAACCGTAATATTTAAGTAAAAAAATAAGAAAATTGAAACGTATATAAAAGAAATATATATAAATCATATATAAAAAGAAATAGTAATTTTTTATTTACATTAGGAGAGCCACTTCCGATGAGCTCCTCCTTGACATATAATATCAAGGAGTAACATTTCTGAGTAACATTTCAAAAATTTTATAAGTCGCTCATTGTTTGTTAAAGTTATTAAACATTTTTTTTATGAATGGAACGTAATTTTTGCACACAGTGTATATGGAAATGTGATAAACAGTACACATATATTCGTAAAAATTAATTCTAGTCTAATCTATCTAATAAAATATTCTAAACCGTACATGATGGGTTAGGTTGGGGTTAGTTTTTTAGGGAGGGGCTCCGTCCCTTCTCCCAGCGAATTGTGCAAAAATTGTTTCATTAAAAAAAAAATGTTTTTATAACTTTTTAACAAATGAGCAACGCATAAAACATTTGAAATATTACTCAGACATGTATCCTTGATACTATATGTCAAAGATGAGCTCATCGGAGGTGCTCCGCCACCTAATATAAATAATTACCAAAGAAATAATGCAATTTAACATTTTAAGGTTGTTATAATGACATAATTCAATTATGCCTCTAAAGTCGATATTCATAGCCGGATCTTATATTTAAGACCGTCTTAAGTTAAAAAATAACGAATGATTTTGCGATAGAGGATTGCAAACGCAATTTTGCGATAAAAGTACAATTGCATATCATATGGCGATTTAAGAAAATCGCAGTGTTTGCGGTATATCTCAAAATCGCACATTTCTAGTTATATTTAACTTGTCGCGTAGGTGATGATAATGACTGTGTGTGTCAATCAATGACAGAGATACAAAGTTCAACGGTCCGATTCAACGCGACGACGAAACGGAAAGTTAGAGCCTTGAGGCTGGATCCGCAACTTTGCTTTAAGCCGTAAGCAAATTGACTAATCATATATTCTTGTAATAATCGATTGTGATTGGTCAATTGCTTGCGGCTCACGGCTTAAAGCAAGGTGTGCCTAAGTCTAACACACAGAAAAACTCAAACAGTAAGAAAATTGATCAATCATTCATAATCGATTATTTCTCGACTGTGAGAAGAATCGTCAACTGTGATTGATCAATTTTTCCTTACTCTCTCTCTCTCTCTCTCTCTGCTCAATTTTTATTGTACAAATTTTTCTGCATGTCCCCGGCCTTAATCGCAACAGAGTTCGTGGAAGATTTGTTGATCGCAGGGAAAAGAGTTCTCGAAACTCGAAACCGGTCTTTGCGAGCGTAATTTGACGCGTCTTTTCGCAGAGACAGTGATGAACGTGTGGCATTGCCTCGATGTCAACACGACGTGAAAGAGAGAGAAAGGAGAAGGAGGGAAGGGATACAATGAGCAAGACGAAATTACATCAGTTTCGTGGAAAATCGTCACGATCTTACTCAGAACGTCGCGAAGACACGGCGCTTCTTCATTTGTGCCGTTGTCCACGTGTATTCGCATCATCGTAATTTCAGTACCGGCAGCGAATGTATTTTTGTGCATCTTCGTTGTAACTGCCGTGGCCGTCGCCGGCGACGTCGACGTCGACGCCGCCGCCATCGCCACTCAACGACCGCCGGCCGGCACATCGAGTCTCTGAGTTCAATGACTGGCACAGAAAAGGAACGCCGCCATCTTACGCGAGATATGCACGTACGATAGTGTTCTATCCGCACGTGTTTGCACGAGACCCGAATGGAAGCTGCTACGACTGTAATAATATCCCGTTAACGATCACGAGGAATTAAAAGCGCGAGAGAGTACAAATTAAGAAATCAACGTGACGCGAATTTCAGCGTGACACGATAATGATTAAAGCGGAAAATTTACGATCGAGCCGCGAGAATGTTTAGATCACTGACCGTTTAACGCACTCCAAGACTCAAAGTAAAAGCACCAATGCTTAGACTATACCTCACTCTAAACATTCTTAATGTTGTTAGTCTTTAAATACAAATATTTAAACTTTCAACGTAGACTATATGTATGTATACATGTATGTATATATGTATATGTTAAACATTTGAATATATAATCATATTTCATATTTAAAAATCAAAACAATAAGAATTTCCAAGCTTTTACTTTATATGCCTGAATATATTTATGCGCAGCAGACAAAATATTTGTATTTACTTTGTTCGCCCGAACCGGATAAAGGCGGGTATTTCGCTTGCGGTTATCCCGTTTCGCGAGACAACGACGAGAACGGCTCCGTAAGCTCGATTCATCAGTTACACTTATCGCGTGATTTTCTCTCTCTCTCTCTCTCTGCTAGAGATACCATCGTGTATATTTGGGCCGCGATGCGTGCTCGGTTCGCGTATCTCTTTGTCCTTCAAATCGTGCGTTTCCCTTTAAGAGCGCGTGTAGTTGACATGCGCGGCCGCCCCGGGACCCTTCTCTCCCTTCCGTTCTTTGTTTGGGTCGCCCTACAACCAACCTCGCTCTCCCTTCGTTCAGCGTCGCGCGATACGGCGCCGAACTTGCCGAATCCGCCGTGTATACCGACTAACCCACTTCGTCCCTACCCCCGCTGTCCCCGTCACCGAAAATAATACGCCGTGCCAAAGACGCGCTACACACTCGGAAGCGTCGCAAAATGCGACGCCGGCGTCCTCTCTCTCTCCTCGGCAACCCCAAAAATAATACCCGAGAATGTTGGCGTTATTGGCGCAAAATTTCATCGCGAAAAGTCGCGTCAGCGAGAGACAACGCACGAAATTCGACCCGAACGAACGAACGGACGAGCGAGCGAGGCGAAATAACTCCGTTCAAGTCACCGCGTTAAAGACGCCGACAAAAATAGCTCGTTGTCGGTAAAGCTGTGCGAACGACTTTATAATGCGTAAATTTATATACGCTTCTCTCTTTCTCTCTCACATATTTTTCGAGAGCGGATTTTCAGAGTGGTAGTGTGTCGAGAGAAACGCGTAGAATTTTTTTTCTCTTTGTTTCAGAACGCGAATGACGGTGGTGGCGTAGCGCGAAGAATCGATGTGCCTGACAATGCTCGCTGAAGCACCTAATAGAAAAGCCGTTTCGCTACGCAATCTCCGCGTATGCCGAATGACGAAATCAGTTTACACGTTTACGCGACTCGGAATTCCGTGGCCGTCGACGAGAAATGCCGGGAACGAGTCCGCGAAGCCGGTAAATAAGCAGACGAGCCGAATATCTTGGCTGCTTCGCGACGGGTTAGACGGAGAAATCGGCGGCCGGCCCTTTCGGTGGAAGCGACGGTGCGCGGACGCGCCGGTCTTGCCAGCTTCGAGTAAGTCGACCGTCGATCCTTCTGCGCGAATTCATGCATATTCGCGATGCGATTTTGTACGGGGAACGAATCGCTAAACGCACGTAGTGCTCAGTTCTGACATTCTCTTCGCGTCGCGTCAAGTTCTTCTTATCGGCGACTCGGGGGAGTGCGAGGCGTTTCAGTCATATATTCCTTCTTCCTTTTGCCCCCCCCTCTCTCTCTCTCTCTCTCTCTCTCTCTCTCTCTCTCTCTCTCTATATATATATATATGTATATATATATATATAGCAACAACAACGGCGAATATGTAAAACACCACATTTGCTTCGGCACGCCGACTCGTTACTGGGTCGTTACATATTAACCGGCGAAAATGGCCGCCATCGCCGCCATCTCCGAGGTTCGCCGGTTTGAAAAACAAACAGCGAACACCCGCGACAACTTAATCTCGACTGAAGAATGAATCTCCGTCGAATGCTGAACAAGCTTTTACGCAAGGAAGATGAGGTAGACCAGTAGTAGTTCGAGATATGAAAAAACGGAAAGGTTTCTCGCAAAGTAAACGAGCGGGAAGGAGCCGACAACCATCTGAGTTTTTTGACTGAAATGAAATCAATTGCGGCGCAATGTAATCGGGAGAAGGGAGATCGACAGTCGCGATAAACGGCGAGCTGTCTTGACATTTTCGCCGAATGAACACAAGTCTGTCGATCCGAGTCGAACGAAACAAATGGAAATTTGCTTACCACGTCCAACCTCCTGAGTGCCGTCCTCTCTCTCCTCCAGGATTTTCTCCACCATGTTTCCTTGCGACCGCGTGATGCTGCTCGTCCAGACAATATCTGGGAATTCTCTGACGGTTCACACCACTGTCGAAAGATCCGTCCGTGCACGCGTTTTCTGTCCCCTCTCTCTCTCTCTCTCTCTCTCTCTTTCTCTCTTTCACGACTCGCACCGCTAGCAGTAATTATAAAAAAGAGTCAGTCGTATTTACAAAAACGCCTATCTACTAAGAGACTGATATAATCTCCCTCTCTGCTCTCCTCTCGCTCGTCCACGTCTCGTATTTCGTGCGAAGAGGGTCGATGTATATCAGCGTGTCGGTATCACAGATATAAATAAATATATAAAGTCTATCTTCTACGCGTCTCTCTCTCTCTCTCTCTGTCTTTATATCTTCACTCCGCAGCTTCGTCCCTCGGCGCGCACGACTGTTCCTCTTTTCCCTATTTCGTTCTCTTCTCTTTCTCTCCCTCTCGAGCGACGATGACACGTCCACGAGAGATGCTGCTGTTGCCGACGATGTTTCGCTACAGATGTACGAAACCTTGTTGTTTTTGAATAAATACTATCACAGACTTTGACACTGCACTTTCTCTCGGTCGGTCATTCTACGTGTGCTGCTTGGTCTCTTCTCACTCTCTCTTCTTCGCCGCCTATCTCGTCCACTCCTCACAACCAGGCGGCCAAGCCTTTTCGCCGATGAGAAGCTAAGCTCGCAGTCAGCCTCTCGCCAGAGCCTCCGCCTCCTCCGCCTCTTCCTCCTGCTCCTGCTCCTGCTCCTCCACAACTCCCCCTCCGCACAAGGTTTTTAACCGGATGCACCGGGCCTTTTCGCACGCGAAAATCCCGCGGTGGTCGTTGTAGCTCCGTCGTCGCTATCGCACAGCCTCTCGCACGTAGCGGCAATCGGGCTCGGAAGCGCATTAAAAAATCCCTCGCCTAACACATCTGGCCTCTCGTCTCCTCTCTACACCATCCTTCACTGCTCGGCAGTTGGTTTCCGACTGAGCTCGACAAGATGGCCGCTCTGCTTACTAACACTCCGCGCGGTCTCCCCACCACCGCGTCGTGAAACCGCTCAGTTCCCCTCATCACGCCGCGCGCCGCCTGCGAATCATGAAGCATCGTCGACGCCCCGAGAGTCACGTAGGCAACGTGTCTCTCAGACTACGGCTCTGGAAGGCTCTCGAATTTTCGCTCCTACCTACGGCTGCATACGCAGCCGACCGTGCGTCACCATCCACCAGACGCACGAAATCCTAATCGGAGTTGCGTTATTATTTCTCGCTAATGAATTATTCACGAATAGAGCAGCATGACAGCGAAGATACGCGCGTCGTACTCGCCGAATCAACTCAGTAGTTACAGATTCCGCAAGTTGGTTTTGCGAGTTCCGATAGCTCGTGTAAATCTCCGCGCGTCCCTCTGCCGCAGGCAGATCGACCGGTACGGCAGAGTAGATGAGATGCAGGACGAGTATATATGTATGTGTGGGTGCGTGTGAGCGTCACTGACCACTCCGCTCTCGCTCTAGTCGCACCATTTCGCGCGTAATATTCCTGTGGGACATCACTCGTCGCTCAATGACACGCCATTCCACGTCACTGAGCGACAAGCAACGAACAGAGGAATCGCTCGATCGCAACTTGTGGCCTCGCGAACTTCAAAATGGCGCTCGGCGTACTCGACGTGTTCTCAGCTGTGATTGGTCGTTCGAGTTAGCGTTCGATCTCTTTTACGCGCCATACGGCGATTCATGTACTCTAATACAGGACGCCGGGTGTTCTTCTTCTCGTTGGCATCGTGGGCATCCACCGTAGGCATCGTCACCTCCTCGGCGACTTTTCGCCGAGCCATGAGACGTCCTGGCACGCCGGTGGGCTCTCTCGTCGTGCCGCTTGATTCAGCTCCCGTGGTTGAAGAAGGACGAAGCGCGTGGATGACGCCGGCGATATCGCGTGGTCGCTTCTTGTTTTCGGCGTCGTAAGGATGCGCGCGCAACGTGTTCTCCGGTCTCACGTATGCCGCGCGGATGGCGCTCGCGCGCTCATCATCCGTCGTCGTCGTGGATACATATCGTCGATGCGCACGAGATAATACGCACTTGTGCACGCTTGTTTTCTTTTTCTCTCTCCTTTTCTCCTCTTTTTCTCGATTGGGCGACTTGTTGTTGCCGGTAGTTGGGTGAGTAGGTGAGGTGGGTAGACAGGCGGTGAGTTGAATAGGTAGGTAGTGGCGGTCGAGTAGACTCGGAACCGCGGGAATTTATTTACGGCGTTATCGTTACGCAACCGTTGCATTAGCGATTCAATAACCCGGCGATTAGCGAGCTGCCTCACTCTCCTCACCCCCTAACCCGCCGGCTATCGCACAGCGATCTCTATTTGTCGTCGCCTCGCGTGGAAAGGCGGGACTCTTTCTTACGAACGCCTGCGCGCGTGTGTGTGTGTGTGTGTGTGTGTGTGTGTGTGTGATGTGAGTGCGCGCGCGTGCGTACATTCACGCGTTGGCGGTGTCGTTCGATTATTTCTAATCCGTTTTATCTAAATGCGTCACAAAGTGTTTTTCCCTCTCGTTTTTAAATTCTCGATAGTTCTCCGCACGATGTGCACGCATACATACATATATGCATGCATGCATACACGCTTGTACGTATCAGCCGCGTGACAATCGTGGAATTCGCAAAACACGCCTCGCCGCGCGGCGCGTGAGAATGGCGTCACTCTCCTGTTGCGTAATTCTGGTTAGACAATGGGGACAACAAGGGCGGACTATTATTGCCAGTTTAGCGAACTTTGTTTGCTCTCTCTCGTCACTCCTGCGAGAGGAAGATCGACCGGCGTGTAAACACACGAGGGTGCTTGCCAAAGACCAGAGAGACGCGCATCGACCGACGCGATCACTTCGAAAATAGTTGCGCTATCGCGCGACTCGGTCGAGAGCACTCGTGTCGCACTCGTTATCGCGGCAAAAGTATCAGCCGGCTGATTAATTTGTTGCGTGAGAGAGAAAGAGGGAGAAATGAAAATGCGCGCGTCATCATCTCCTGATCTCCCTGTTATGTTTCAGGCGTCTGTTTCAAGGTCGACGAAAGAAAGAGGAGGCACTCACGCTGCAGAAGAAACGGCAACGACGATGCGCGACTATCGCTCTCGTGTCGTCTTACGAGTGTTTACCAGACCGGCTCGGGCAGAATCGCAAAAAGTGTCCAGCGGTCGAGTTCGCGCGCGAAATTGCGTCACCGTCGCCGTATTCGTCGAGAACGATCGGCGCCGGCGAGGATCGAGAGAGCCTTCCTGGAAACAACGGGGCCATCGACCATTCCGTTCAGGTTGTCTCGTCTTTCCCTCCCCCCCATCCCCTTCACCCCCCTGTTTCCCCCGTGTGAGTATCGTTACTCCTCTCCATCAATTAGTTTTCACTCTTTGATTCTTTATTACGTCGCGACCCTCTCCCGCATCGCATCCGTGAGGTGGGATCGATCGCTAAATTACTATTGCCGCGACGTCGTCGATGCCTGTGTGTGCTTGGATGTGTGTGACTGGATGGAAATAAACATCGATTTTATCAAACGCTGCGCCCGCATTTACCTGCTCGAGTCGGTTCCCATATTTAGAGCGGCCATTAGCATGAATGCGCGACGCGCGAGAACGAAGTTAAGTAATAATAAGCGACGCGACGCGACGGCTGATTCTTTTACGAAGTGGACGACAGCGACACCGGAGAGAGACACAGGGCTTTGCCCTGCCGTGTCTGGATGAGGAAATCACCCTCGAGTCTGTCAGGCGAAAATCTCGAAGAGTGCGGCGCGCGGTCGCTGCCAATAATCGCGTACGCGCGAACCGGTTTCCGCACGTGGCGGCGATCGTCCGCGCTCGATCGCGACGAAGAAGCTGACCCCACCTACACGCATCGTCGGCGCTCGTGCATACACGCCGTGACTCTCCCCTTCGCCGTGCCGACGGGAGGATTCGAGGCGCTTTCGGAGATTATCGTAGCCAAATGTAATTATAGCTGCGCGCAATCGATCTTGTCGCCCTTCCCCGGGCCCCGTGGTGCTTCACGGTGGCAATCTTTATCGCGAGCGTCCCGCGACCTGCGCGACCCCGACGACGTGGCGACGAGGCGGCAGGCAAGGCGCACCGCACAATTCGTGCGTTGTGTAATCGCTGGCGATTTCGCCCTCCGCGCGCGGAATTGCGCAGCGTCGCGGAACATCGCGAAACGGGCGTACGTCGTTTCATAAGACGACACGTCCCTTATCTGGCGCTTATCCGAGCGTGCGCCCCCTCGCCGTTGTTGTTCCGCGTGTCAATAACGTTCACCGCGATAAACGACCGGTCGCTTGTGCGATTACTCGCGGCGACATAAGTCGGTGAGGATCCGTATATATTCTCGGCACACTGATGAAAAGAAAAACGAGCACGATAGCGAGAAACGACGACGTACGCCCCGGGCGAGATTATTGCCGCCGCCGAGTGCTCGCGCTAATTGCCCTGCCGACTCATCCGGATGATACCGGACTCTTCTTGTCGATAATCGAACGTTTTGCGCAAATCGCGGTCGTAGAAGAGTCGAACTCCGTCCGTTTGGGCGAGACGTTATCGCGAGTGTTACGACGATTATATCGTTTCCCGTCGACGGCGGGCGACATTTCCTTAGCCTTCGCCGAACTATGCGACTCTCGGCCAGGTATGCACGAGGTACACAGGTGTTACCCTCTCTCTCTCTCTTTCTCACTCTCTCACACATACCTGCACACCGACACGGAGCAAATATTTCCTCACCGTGTTTTCGTTTTTTTTTATTATTAACGATATGCTCATATCATTAGGCTTGTATTAATTATCCGGAGCCGAACGCTCGATTGAAGACCAACCGGCGGAATTTCGAGAGACTCGCTCGCGTTTGCGTCGCAGTTGGCCGCGACGTTGGAACGCACAAGACGGTGCGATGTTAAAGAAGAAGGATCATGATGCTCGCCGCCTTGGAGTTATGTAAGTCAGCCAGCCAGCCAGCCGGCCGGCCGGCCGGCCGGCTGAGGTTCCGGGCGCCGGTAAAAGAACAACGAAAGCGAATCCGCCGGCACGTAGTACGAGTATCTCGCCTTCGTCGCGCTTCGAAGCAATAAGGCAAGAATACCAATGCCTGGGTACTAAAGAATCGTTTACAATGCAGTCGTACTTGCGTCTTAAAGTGACAGCACTGGTCTGTGAATCATTGTCTAGTTTCTTCGCGTGAACACGTGAGAAATGAAAAGTTTCACTAACGAATTCGATAAAACTTTACATTTTTTACGAGTTTACGCGCAGAAAACAAATGAAACATGATCGATTTACAGACTAATGCTACGATCTTAAAACGTAACTGCGACTGCATTGTAGACGAATAACACTGATATCTAACTTTGAACATTTTTATTACTTTGGTTTTTAAGTACAAATATTTAAACTTTCAATGAATAGTATGTACGCCGAACTTCTCCCTCCACTAATCGGAATAGTACAAAGGCGGGAGTTCGCATTTTTTCAGCGCACAGCGCCATCTTCATCAATCCGGGTCTGCGAAGCATCAAAATTAATTAATCGATAACTCATTAACTATTGCTCGTATTAAAAAATGGCAAAACATTTTTCTTCTCAGTTTATCTTCTATTAACTGCTATTTCAATATTTGGCGGTTGTTGTAGGACACTCTGTATATACATTAGATGCACTATACATATATTCTACGTTGAAAATTTAAGTATTCGTATTTAAAAACCAAAACAATAAGAATGTTCAGAATTAGGCGCCAATGTTATCAATGTCCAAGCATTGCTACTTTTATTTTTTCGACGATCATCGTATGGTATGAGTCGTATTGGGTATATTATTCGATACTGCCGAAAACTCGCGCCTAACGAAGAGAAAAATTAATTATTTCGCAATGGAAGTATCTTTTGGATATTTTGCCATCTGCGCGTATGGCCTGAATGTTGAAATCGTGCAATCTGAGTAATGCAATATTTACACCGGTGAATCACGTTTTTTCTCCGCACGTGTGTACACACGCGTATCTCTCTTGCATCTTGGAGAGACCGATGTTCACCTGATTTGTAAATCGCGAATGGATGAATCGTATCGATAAGGACGCGCAAAAACAGCTTGCACTCCCGAATAACAATGATGAGTGATAAACTCACTCGCAGTTGTTTCTGTAAAATAATGAGGACTTGATCAGGTCGAGGCGAAGCATGTGTGTGTGTGTGTGAGTCAAAAAGCAAACGGCCGTAACTCGTAATCGTCGACTGAGTCATCGTCAATTCAAAGAACAATTTTGTATCGAGGAGTGTGTCTCCGCTAATAAACGACTCCATAAATAGGGTTAACGATTGTACGCATACGAAAGTGAAGTCATCCTCGTAGATAATAATGTTTGTCTCGATGGAGCGCTAGTAATCGCTCTTTATTGTCGATGCGAAAATAATCGTCCGCTTGATCTATTTGTCCGAAATTTTATCGCGTTTGAATATCTCGAAAGTGATTTAACGATAATTTCAAAAGATATTATCAGCCGATAAGCGAGCAGCGTTTTCTGTTTGGAATGGGAGCTACTTTGTGGCGTCACAGAGAAGCGCTTCCAAGTGATACAAATAAAAGCATAAAATCTGTCACAAAATCAGAAGAATACAGGACATAAAGTTTCAATGCAATATAAAATTCTTGTGTCTTTGTGTGCCGCGAACAGGTTGCACTGAAACTTTGTATCTGGTGTTGTTCCGATCTTGTGATAGGTCTTGTGCTTATATACACACGCACGCACGCATGCGCACACCATCTAAATGGGCGGGGCTTGTGTACGTGTGGGCGTGGTCAGTGCGCACGGAGGCGTGGCTCGCCCACGATTAGCACACGTGGCTCGCGCGCGAGTAGCTGTAGCCTATGCATGCTTGAGTTGCGCGCGAATAGGCGTAGCCTATATATGCTTGGGTGTGGCTTATACACGAGTAGACATAGCTTATGCGCACGTTTTTCGAGATATTCTCTGTAACGCTACAAAGCAACTCGTTTGATCGAGCTCTAAACAGATGCGATGAGACGCGTCTCCGCAAAACATTATTTCTCCGAACATTATTTCTCCGATGACATTGACCGAATTTCCGATTGCTGAGGAAAAATCGAGCTGTATATCTCGCCATGACAAAGCTTCCCCGAGCTGTCCATCGTATTCGATTCTCTCGCTTGAGGAGACGCTTCGACGCGTCTCAACCACGCGTTCGCCACGGTCGTCGTCATGCTCATCGCTTGCGTGGAACATCAGCTTTAACCGCGCCTCGACAGCGATGTATATAGCAAAGCTTGTCGCTGTCTAATTTAAATGCGAGTGCGATCCTGCGAGTGCACTTGCATTCTTCGCGATACCGAGACGGTGACCCAAGCAAAGAGATATCGAGTAAGATTTATAGGAGTGAATCATAACCTCCGTCGAGATTGCCTCTCGTTTTCGTCCCGAGCGAATTAATTCCGAGCCGGATGATCTCTCGCGATCTTTCGGACGGAAGGGGCGGGATGGATCGACATTGTGCAGCAGCTGCGGCGGGAGGAACTCGTGAGGAACTTCGAAGCGTCCGAACGAAGTGCGCGCTTCTCTCGTTCTTTTCTCGATTCTTCTCGTCGATCCTTTTTCTTAATTCCTTCCTGCGAGTTTTACGAACTCGACGACCTTCTCGGTGAGAGAGCGAGTCGCGGTCGGGCGTATCGTTGCGGCGAGAGATAGGCGCGCGTGAAGAAGGATCGCAGACTTATTTAATCATGACGACGACGACGACGACGACGACGACGACAACGACGACAACGACAACGACGACGTGAAGGACGAGAAACACTTGGCGCGCACAGGCGGTATTATTTTTATTTCGCGTAAAATTGCGCGTCGCACACCGCAAGCGCGATAACTTTCGGCTACGGTCCACAGGAACCGCAGAGCGCGCGATTATTTGCTAACGACAAAGTAAGACGCATGCTTTCGCGTCTTCGTGTTTATAAATATATCGCCGGCCGACGCGCAAATAAATTTTTAACAAGGTGCACACGCACCCGTACGAGTGCGCCTATACGTTTTGTGTTTTAATATGTAATGTACTCGCGCGACAGGAATAATTCCAACTGCGCGACAGCCACGCACACTATCGCATTGAATTATAATAATATCGAATCGCGATAAGTGTGGGTGGACACAGAGGTGAATAGATAAAGGGTGGGCGGTATCGGCTCACCGTAAATAACGACCACGTAACGCGAGTAATTAATTAATGGGGCCGGCTGGCGACTCGGGCCGCGCGTTTAGAATCGCGGAATCGAGCACTGACGAATTTTCTAATCGCGCTTACGCGCGCAGACCGGCATAATTGAATTCAACATTTAGTGACACAGTAATAATTAGGATTATTCAGTCACTCACATATGGTCTCGATATATTCATAATAGTAATAATAATAACAATATATATTTTATTGGAAGCCATTGACATTACAGAGTTAATGCCTGGCTATGTTTGACGAACCTCGATGTGTTTTATAATTATGTACGTGAAAGCAATCAAAAGGCAAGATAACGACTTTGCAGCTGATGTTATTGTGTTACCTTGTGTGGTAGTGATACTAACCATCCTGATGTTATAATATGTGAAGAGTCAGACTAATTGATTACGTAACTGTGTGAAGAACCGAAACTTAAGAATTAGGATAAAAACAGAAAAAAATATATATCAGTTATATGTACTTGTATACAGACTACTACAGAGATGTGATTATGTATCGTGACTGTTGATTGTTCAAAGAAACGCAGCGACGAGATATCTCAATTATTCTAATTATTATAACAGCAAATAACAATGCAGCACTGCATTAGCAACATAAAATCATAAAAGAAATATAAAAGAGTAAATATTCAATATATCTTTACAGTATTTTGTTGAATACTCCACAGTCGTGATGCACAAAGTCATGTCGGCTGAAAAATTCCACACGGAAAAGAAATTTCAGTTCGTATATCTGAGTGAGGACCAGACGAAAAATAATATCTCTGTTACCATGATCAAAAACATTCGTCTGAACATTCAGCTGCATGAAAACTTGGTTGAGATAACTGAGAGCAATTAGCTGAATAGGGACCCCTTACGGGAATCATCCTGTTCCAGTGACCGAGTTTTTCGTCCCCAAGTAATAGAAAATTTAATTGCATTAACGGAGTTATTTTTCCTGCGTGTGTAGTTACTATTGTGCTATTGCGGTGTTACGCCTGCTGTGTACATCACAGCAGGTGCATTATTCGTCGCAAAATGGTATGTGTACATACGAGTGATCGGCTGCGACAATGCCGTTCGTGCCGATGAATCAACTTCTAGGCATATGCTGTGAGTATACATACTTTACACTCTGAGAAAAAATGCTTGATATTTGCAACACAACTGTGATCACATAGAAAAATAATCATTATAAATTATCATTAAGAAAATTATTATTTTTTAATTAAATTCTAGTAAAGTTAGTGATAATAATTTTATATGCATGTCACTACTACCCCTTTGCTACGAAAAATATGGTTGAGACCAAAAAGAAGTATAATTTTAGTTTGATCAACAATTCGTTTTCTTTCGGTATAGATGATGGACGTTCCGCGAGCAAACTTATTGATCCTCTCGCGCATCTCGGGTGTCAACGTAACGCGTTACCGAGCACCGGAGAATTACGACATTTTGTCGTTGTATAGGAATTCGAGACAATCGTCACGAGCAGCGGCGTTAACCGATCGCGCCGCGGCGTGAAAACCGGTTCTCAAGTCTCTGCTGACATCGTGCAGTTTTTTTCTCTCCTTTTGTATTATTTCAGTCTTTTCTCCTTATCCCCTCTCTCTCTCTCTCTCTGTCCCACCTCTCGAAAGTCTATCTTGAGTCGCAGTTCCGTAGATTCACCTCGTCGCGCGCTCGCCTCTCGTAACTTATTACAAGAGGAGTTCCGCGTGTCCGCTAGAAAATAAAAGCTACGCGCGCGAGAGACTCTCTTTGCGTCGCGGCTCGTCGATCCACGAATAATACGACCGGCATTTCTGAGAAAATGAATTCCCGACACGGCGCGATACGCGAGGATGGGGCAAGGAGAGCGGGTCAGACGGCGCTAACTTTAGCGTTATTTAAAAATGGTGCGCAGTTATTCCTGCTCTCTCGCGTATCGATTCGCGGCGGCCCGGCAAGAAGAGCGCGGCGGGCGACATTAGGTCAAAGGTAGCGCTGTAGTCGAGCGTATAAAATTATCCGTAGCGCCGCTACGAATGGTGGGGAAGGACTCAGGAATTCTCGGGGTACAATCAACCTGCACGCAAAAGTACATCGCACCGCGTGCGCGTTACGTCAGCGGAAAACCTTGACTTTATTGCACCGCGACATGCCGGGCAACAAGCGTCTCGATCCTTTCCCTTTTTACGGTGCGCGTTTTGTGTATAGTTTTGTATAGCTTAGGCTACTTTCTGCAGGGTACCTTTCGACAAACATGCGTATACGATTATTGCAGGCCTCGGCCAAGCGTCGTGTGGAGTATCCCCGTATATTCTCGCATAATCAGTCGTAAAACGATACTGGGCGACGATATCCAACGGCAAGTGGCTCTCACGAAGGAGGAAGATGCTCGAGAAAACTCGCAAGCTCCAAAAGCTTCCGCGAAGAAGCGAAATCACTTAATGACGTTCCGCGATTAGAATAAGTTTGCAGAGAATCCATAGGCGATAAATGAACGTGGACCCACGTCGAAATTTTCATTTTACTTTCGGCCCCAACGTTTCAACTTAACACCTACTTCGATATACCCCGAAGCCTACATCGATCTCTTTTGATTCTACTTAACCTACTAACTTTGTTAATAGGTCGACTGCAGGTGACACTTTGGGCGTTTTCTGCCAATCAGATGCGTTAACTGGATTTTAGTTTCTCTATGTGTATTAAACATACACCGATTCTTCAGAATATATAGCATTAGAAAGTTCAGGTCGAAAGTTGGGCTAAAATTTCCACTCGGGATTGCTTGCGAAGTGATGACTGCGATTAGGGTATCTATTATAGATACTACGACCACGTATTATGATAACTTTAAATCACATTCGCTCTGAGTGTTATGTAACCAGAATAACTCTCAACCGCGCCATTGAGCTACGTTCCTTCAGTATTCAAAATACAAATATTTTTCGTTGTGCAAACAACATCGATAAGATAAGATGCTGAGGATCGCGATTCCGACGATTTGATCGTCGCTAACTAATGCGATTTCGTTTCCCAGCGAAATTCCAAACCTAATCAATGACTCAGCTTTTACGATGAATCTCAGTGGATCCCCTTCACCCACACTCCTCGAAGGAGGAGTCGATTGCCCCATTGCGAATTTGTGTGTTTCATCGTGCTGGATTGCGCGAAGGAAGAAAAGAAGCAAACAGCGCGTTTTTGCAGTCAAGAAAATGGAGAAATGAATCGATTCGCGCGGTAACTATGTAAATCCATGTGTGTTATTCTTAGACCCATAAACGTATAATTTGGCTGAAGCTCGTTTCCTTCCATGTTCCTCGCGAATTTAAATCATGTCATTTAACACGTTTGAGAGACATTAAATTATAATTTAATACGTTTAAACACTCCAAATGCGACTTAAAATGGCAAGAGATAGAGCGTAGAAAGAGATTCAGTCGAAATAAGACACTTGGGCTTGCAGTTGAGAATTGCCTCGCGTTGATGATCGCACATCACAACGCGTCGTTTGTACGCGTATTACGCACCGGAATGGAGAGTGCGTCCGCCGCCTTTTCCTGATTCCGACGCGAATAAACGCGCACAAGTCGACTACGCAACGGCGGACGGACGATCGACCGCGACGGGTTACAAACCGTGAAAGCGAACCGCCGTATCGTACAATCGATAAGAGTTTTATATGCGTAACGCGGCGTACGCGCAAGTGTGCACACGCTTATTTAGCTTGAGCATACGCGCGCATGTATGTGTGTGTGTACATATATAATGTAATGTGCGCGAAGGAACGTAGGGAGGTCGCAATTTATGTATTGTACGTGTTTATGAAGCGCCAACGCGTGTATGTGCCAACTCGCGACCGCGACTGCTCTTCACCGAGGAAGTTAACGGGCATCCTTGCGACGCGACAGGGAATATCTCGGGGGGTGAGGGGGCGACTCTCATTCTCTCCGACGGAGAGACGTGCTCTCGGATGGCGGGCGCATATTTTCACGAATCGACAATAATAGAGTAGATCGATGAACGCGCCACTGCCGCGAGAAAAAGAGCCGCGGTTGCTGACGCGCGACGGTGACCATTCTTCTCGTATCCTTCACCTTTGCGTGGTCACCTCTTCGTTGCGTCATCGCGCCGTGTTCTCAAATTCGCAGTTGAGTTCGCCCGCGCGCCTTGACGTATAAACAGATCTGCTGATTTGTCCGCGAGATTTGTGCGCAACGTGTCGGAAGCAAATTCGACAATCGACTCGTTGAAACCTGTTTTTGCGATTGGTGTCCCTCGCGAAAAGCGAGATTTGTGCCGCAACTCGCCGTCCGTTCTTTCCTTCGCAATGGGTGTCACAGTAAATAAGCCAACAGCCGTAAGTAACGCGACGTTCTTGAAGGGCTTCGAATTCGTTGCTTGTAAGCGCCTAAGCCACTTTGGGTCACACCACCCGCGGTGATGCCTCTTATCCAACACCTTCCGACAACTGCTTTCGTCGCGAAACTGCTGCGATGATTTTCCTCGATCCGTTCCTCGATGCATCGGTAGCCTCATCATCGTCGCCTCTTACGATCGGGCAACTTTTGCACTATGATATACATTCAGAAATATCATGTTATTACTAAGAAAAGTGGTTATTAAGTTTACTTTCCTTTTTCTAAGTAATACTTACTACCAACGAAGAATATTTTCTCTTGATAGTAGTCTTAAAATATGTTCATCCTAAAAGTATCATATACTCAAAAGAAGGATTGGTCCTCTTTACAAAAATATTATGAAACTAAAACTAAATATTATGAAACTTTATCGAAAAGAAATTCTATATATATACTGGGAAAAAAATATCTAAAAAATTATTTATTCGTTGGGTAATAACATGTTTAGTTATACTAGTATGAAGTACTTTTCAAATAAAAAGATATTTTTTTAAAACTTCTTATGAAAGCAATTATATATATATATATATATATATATATATATATATATATATATATATATATATATATATATATATATTTATTTATTGTACTTAAATAAAACAATTTGAATTTAAGTAAACATGTTACTCATTGAATGAATATTTTTTTATCTTTTAGATATTTTTCCTCCCCCACAATGTAGTAAAGCCCGCGGTACACGATGCTCAATTTTCCGTCGTGCGTGGAGCGTGGCCTAATTTCAATGACGGCAACGTTCATTATTTCGCGCATGCTTCCTTGTGTGCACCAATCAGTGCATCGGAAGCGATCACATGCTCAAGTTTCATTTGTATTTAAATGTCATATCGTGTCATAGTAATGTCATGCGCGAAGTAATGAACGTTATCGTCATGAGAATTACGCCGCGCTTCATTACTTTGTATTATTACATGTTTTTTACTTGGTCAAACACATGTATCATTGAAGAAACAAAACACTCGTGGCAACGATTGAATTTTGTGTTGACAATTGCCAAACATTTCTTTGATTCTATTTTAACTTAATTATGGTTCGGCGTGTAGTACCGAATTTCCGTCTCGACAACAAAATCCTATCTTCAGTGTAAACCGTTTTGCCACCTACGGTAGACACATATCGGATGCAGGAACTGTCGATTGCGCGAACATGGGTTTCCCTCTTTTCCTTCACTTACTCTCTTACTCTTTTACTCTCTTTCTTTCGTTCTTCCCTTCTTTCCTTTTCTTCTGATCTCATCACTCTCTCCACAGTCGACCAGCTTTCAATCACCGTTTCTAACGAGTATTTAGGTCGATAATAACACGAACGCGACCGTCAAGGAAGTGCCAATTACAAATCTCGTCAACGTGGATTTCACCAGACACCCGGGTCATCGACCTCACTCGAGGTGACCGTTGAACGATACACGTGTGCCTCCGTGCGTGCTCGTGTTTTGAAGAAAATATTAACGATAGTTCTACTTCCTTCGTGATTGCCGGCGTCACGTCGAGCGTTACAATGCGCACCGGCGGTCTTCTTATCATAAGAACGATAATCGCTCAGCGTCGTCCATTCGTTCTTGTAACGCTCGCGCGAGTGCGCGATATCACATTATAAATAAAAGACAGAGAACAGGGCGGCAACGCGTTGCGCAAGAGGACGGGATTTGTCGATCGATGAATATCCGCGCGCTTAATCCGATCTCGTGCCCGCATGATAAGGATGCGATAATGCAGTCGCGATGCAATAATTCGTGCTATAATCGAGTTCATCGAATATAATGTGACGCGCCGAATCGATGGTTGTGTAATCCTCGAGGCGCGTTATGCTATCACTGAGAACGCCCTCGCGCCTTCCCCCCCCCCCCCGCGTCATTGTGTTATCTAAGACGCAAGCCATCAACCTCATTCCTATCATTTCCTTGTTCATTTGATTAACAAGTCGGCTGTACGGATTACGACGAGAAACAAAGAAATCCGAAGGTAGAAGTTAGCGGCCGCGGTGTGCGCACTCGCTCGAAATAGAATTCATTTATTCGAGTGAGCGAGCGGGCGAATTGTTGTTTGTCGTATAAATTATGCCCGGGTAATAACGATTTGACGGTCGCGTGAATGCAATTTCCCGAGGTCATCGTCGTCGCGTCGACGTGGCGAATTGTCCGCGACAACAAAGCAATATTTCAGTCGTTCTGCGTTTTCAATGCGCGCGAATGCCGCAAGATTTCACAGGTTGCCGGACTCGTCTCAAGCTGAGGTAGTATCGTTTCGTCGTCACAGATTCCTACGGAAAGATTTGGACACTACGGCAAGGTCGTAGGGTCGCCACGTCTACGAACGTCGTAACATCATTAAAAGCATAATATACGTATGTATACGTATGTATACTCTGTAGATTTCTATGTTACGTGACAGTTTGACTGCTAAGAGAAGCTAAGAGCGTTGCCTAACTCTCACTCTCCGGCAGTTACTCCGAAACGCGGGGCCTTGTTCAACAAGCATTTTGCGACGTACGTGCAAGTTGAGCTTCAAGCCGCCAGCCTTGACCCGCTTTGGTGTCTTCGACTGGTATCTCACTTTGCCTCACGTGCTTCAAAAACTTTGACCTTAGACGCCGTCTCTTCGTGCGCTCGCTAACGACTCGCTTGTTTATCGGTTAGTTATTTGCCGACGATACACAGACTCGGCATTGCGCCAGACATAGATCGATATCTAATTATCCTCTCCTTATATTATCGCTCGCCCGACGCGGTCATTGACAATCGCAGACAGGCCCGATCGCGGTGTTACTCTACATGGATATCTCAAATTTTTATCGATCGCGCGACACAAATAAGTCAGAGATCCTGTGCTGGTCGAACAATATGGAGATTCTTTATTCGTATTGGCACAAAAGAAGGAAGGACTCGCGCGTTATTCAAGCTCGCGATAGTCCTCGCAATAGTCCCACTCCTCTTCCTGAGAATGATTCACGCCGTTCGTCGGCGACGTTGGGTTCCGAATCGCAGTCATATCAGTATTGCCGACGCCCAAGGTGGTCAAAATACCTGGCCAATTGGAGAGCAGAGATTCACGTCAAGTCATGGAGTCGTATCACAGACCGAGCTTAAGTGTCTTAAGTGTCACATCAGACCTTTCAGTTTTCCCATCATATTCTCTTGCGCCCCTTCCATCGTTGGTTCTCCTTTCACGTTCTGATAAATTACGTGTGCGATGTCGAAGATGTGATTGAATACGAATTGAGCAGTGCAGAGTATCATTACCACGAGAATCGGCAAACAAAGACTAGTCTCGAAATCGTCGAGGAACAGGTTCACCCATTCTGGTAACAGATCACCAGACATTTTCGCCAGTTCCTCGGATTCTCCAGGTTATATTCTTATGCGTGTTTCTATTCTGCTTGTCTTGCGTATTCCTATTCCTCTAGTTTGCAAGTAAATCAGAGGGACCGTCCGCTGTCCGAACATCACCATTGTCCCTTCATCTTTCACGTTGTGCAGCTGGCCTACCGATCCTACGATTTGATATAATTTATACTCGAAGGTGGAGCCGAGAGATGTATATATATATCCGATCGATTTCGTCATGAAGAGGAGAGATCTTCAGAGAGTATCACGTTCGTATGTTCGTTGTTGCTTGTTGACGCGAAGGTAGCGGTGATTGGCTTACATGTTTATTTATATGACTACGATAAACAGACACACGGGAACGTTCTTAATAATATCTTATGTGATATTTCTTAGACTAGTAAGTCAGACGTATATAATGTGTGATAAAACATTTTATATTTCATATTTTACATCACCACATCCATTAATCTCGAATCGGTCCATCATTTCTCATCAAGTACTTCGCGTGTTTATAATCGGCGAAATACTAAAATTAAACACTCGTGAGAGTGGGAACTTTGACTGATGAGAACAAAATTATAATGTTCTGTGCTGTAGGCGACAGCTTACTAAGAATACTCTTTGGGAGAGAGGATAGCACACGATTCTAAGAACAATTGTAGAATGTGCCGAAACTAACAGGTGATAATATTTTTTTTATGATTCCGAGAATACAATTGTAGAATGTGTCGAAAATAATGGACGAAAGTAATGTGTTTATGTGAGATTAAAACAAATTATACTATAGGCAACATCGTTACATCGTCATCGTCGCCGAAAAAATCTAACCTTATGGGCACCTGTGTATTAATGAAGAAAATATTTTCATCAAAAGCGTCGCCCTCGATTTGCCGGAATATCTCCGCTTCTTTATCGCGCGCGATTATCCTCGCTACATCACTCGGAGTCGATTGAGGTTGCAAGGGCGGAGTAAGGTCGAATTCTCTCTCGGATAAACAATAATCGTAATACGGAAACGACTGGGATGATCGAACGGATAACGGCAAGGAAGCCAGTACCGAGTTTGTGTCGAGATTTAACTCTGAATTAATCTGAATGCGAGACGATGTTGAATGCGTTAGCGATTTTTGGCTGCTCGTCTTCGCGTAGGATGTACATACGTAAAATAGGGGGTCGTCCGTGACGCTGCCGTGGCTGGTCGATTGTTGAAATGAACTCGTCTCCATCGCGTTCGGATTGTATACTTGCGACACGCTCACGAGATTCGCGGAGTCCGACGGAGATTCGCTTATAGTATCGTCCGAACTAACGATCGACGTGCTCCTGTCGGCTTCATCGCCCGGAAATTGATATGTCGAGCAAATTACGACACCTTCCTGTTTGGATGAATCCTCGTTTCGACAGTTGATCGGCAAAGATATGGGCTCACGGACAGTCCTCGTTAACAACTCTTTCTCTGCTTCTCGGTGTTTCTCTCGTTGATTCGTCGGATCCGTGAGCGTCGAATTGTTCCTCGGCGGAAGGGACGATTCGACGGGATGACTTTCGGCTTCCTCATGTTTCCGGTGTTCCTTGTGTACTGTTTGCCGAGTCGCGGGCGATTTCGCCGCTGGTTGTGCGGGAACTTGCGTCATCTCCGCCGGCTGCTTCGCGAATGCCACAGTTTTACGTTGCTTGGCCAGATCCAACTGCTTCATGATACCTATTATATTCACGAAAGCGAATCGATCGCTCTCCATCAATGCGTGCAATTGAACGACCGCGTTGTAGCATGATTTCTCCCACGACACGTAATCCGTAACTTGGGATTTGAGATTGCTCTGAAGAAGTTTAGATATATGAAGGCGATATTGGATACCGACATAACGCAGTTTCGTAGTTTTCTCTTTCTTTCTAGTTGCATGCATCAAATTGAAAATGTTTTTGCAGAGTGAAATATTAATGAATGGCTAAACAGTTGCATGAAATGAACAATAAATTCTTTACACTTGATTAATAAACAAAAAAATTTTTTTATTTCACGTAACTGTTTAGCATCAGTCATTCATTAACGATTATACTTTCAGCCTATAAAAGCATTGTCAATTTGATGCATGCAATTAGAGGAAAAGAGAAAACTACAAAACTGCGTTATGTTAGTATCCAGTATCGCTTTAAATGTAAAACAATTCCATAATGAATATTCTGCGTGAACGACTCGAACCTGTGCATCGACCGACTGTCGAGATGCGTATTCTCGTGCTTTAGACGTGACGCATTTGGGTAGAGAGGATACCTCTGCCAAAGCTATACCGTAGTGGTCAGTGGGCGCTGTTCCATTATTTAACTTGTGAGTGTATATCAGGCGCAACTGGCCCGATTCGTCCGACTCTGCCGTTTTCGTCTCGAAACAGTAACTAAAAAAAGAACAAACAAACGATAACTATCTGCCTGTTGGCATTTTCGTCGTCCGGAAAATTCAGAACTCCTTTATGTAAGAGCGTTACGTACTTTGTCACATTGTAATACATGTTACTAAGCGCGGTGAGGTGCAAAAAGTGCGTCACCGCGAACGTGAATGCACTCGTCAGCAATAATTTCTCGCAAATCGACCAAGCGATGGCCGAACCCTCTTCGACCGTGGTGTGTCTGCAAAGCTCGTCCAGAATAACGAGAGATCGCGACGTGACGGATTGCAAAATGTACTGCGCCTCTTTCATCTGTAATAAACGTATTCGAAAGTAATTGAAATCCAGCTTAGCTCTGCTCTGAATGTGGTTTAATTGTGCCGGATTATATTGCACCTCGAGAACGTAGGCGGACGCGTTGAGTTCGGCGTCGTCGCGGGAACATATTCTGCAAAGTATGCGATCCGCGATGCGAAACGTCGCCTTGGTCGCCGGCACGTAGGAGCCGATCTACGGGCAACGATAAGCGCGATTGAATGATAAACGAATACATTAATCGTTAATCGAGATAGCTAATCGGCGCGTTGCGCCGTTACCTGCGCCATAATTTGAAGTAGAACGATTTGCTTCAGGTATGTAGATTTGCCGCTCATGTTCGGTCCGGTTATAAGGTGAAAATTATGCGCGTTCGTTGCATCCTGTTGGTTTGAAGCAGATCGTTTGCAGATTGGAAAATTCCTCGGGAACATGCGACCGATCGATCGGACAATTTACTCGGCAAATTGTTTGCCGTTATGTTTAACACTCACTACGTTGTTGGGCACGGGAAGGTCCGTGTTAAATAACTCCATAATGGGGTGCAACGAGTCTCTCAGCTCTAATTTCGCCTCAAACGACGGTTTCACGTATTCCGGATTGCGACTGATTTGCGCCAGCGACAATACCAAATCCAATTCCGCCACGTCGGCACTCAGTTGGAACAGGCAACCGACGTGTTGCCTGATGTCCTCCAGTAAATGAGTCAGCAAGCTATAAATTGTTATTTTATTGATGCAGCAATATTGACGCAATATACATATATATTTTTTTTTTTTTGTATAAACTGTGAATTGGTAATTTAATACTGCATAAAAAATATAAAAATAGGACGATTGACTCACGTGTTGCTCATCACATAAATCTCCTCGCAGGCTTTTCTGCATTGCTTATTTAAAGTCAATAGCGCCGTCGTAGTCATCGTGAAAGATCTTCTGTTTTTTCTTACCTAGTATTTTAAAGGTGTTACGTAAAGTTGAAATTGCGCATCGATTAGTAGAAATACGAGTTACCTGAATAAATTCCGTCGACAAGTCGAAAATTCCAATGTCCAGACTATGCGGTAGGACCACGTGAATGTGGTAGCCCAAGTTTACGTTGTACTCCAAAGATAACGGGAGCTTGTGGTTGACAGCTAATTGCTCTACTAAATCTATTTGAAGAAATTCATGAAATTACGAGCTATGTGCTTGTCTCTCTTTCTTGGCGCGTATTATCTGTTACACATTACACATCAATACTGTTCTAAGACATTACGATGCCATTTACTTTTCATGTCGCTGATTAACTCGCAGTAAATTTGCCGCGCGACGTCTAACAGTTCGTTGATACCGGCTTTTATAGCGAAGCACCGTTGCATACTTGACGAAGTGGATCCCTTGACGAATTTCGCGTCCGTGTGTATCAGCGTCATAATCTTGTCCTTCATGACTCTGAATTCATAATTTCCTAAATTCTGCAAGACGCGAGTTATTGCGCGAAAAACGCGCAATCGTTCGCGTTAGTAATAATCGACAAGAATATTGCGATCAAGTGTGTCAATAAGTTTCAACGAGAACACAGACCTTTCGCATTTTTACGAAAAAAGCATGAGTACCGGTCGCGAGAACGGCTTCCAATTCCGGAACGGTGTCCAGACAACTTTTCAGAAGCAAAGCGTAGTTTAGGTTACGCTCCGCGTTTTGTACGTCATTTGTGTTTAGAGGTTTGCTCGCTAATGTCAGCAAACGGTCCGTGCCAAAGAGACGTTGCACCACCGGCTGCGAAGCACATACATTCTATCTAAATTTCGCAACTTGTATACGCGAGGGTATCGCAGCTTCATTGACTTTTATCAGCCGATACAACGGCGATTAAAAGCTTCACGGACGTGAGTTAGTCGTGATTTTCTAACTGCGTCTACCTGAAGACTAGCGCATAAAGAATGTTTGGCGATCAATTCCGCCACGCAGGCCTGCCGGTCTACGATCAAGCGTTCGTCGCAAGGGGGTTGAAGAATAGAAGCGCGCAGCAGCCTCCTACCCATAGGGGTCAAGCAACGATCCATAGTTCCAAGCAGACTGACGATGGAATGCTTGGACTGCGACACGACCAGTTCTAGACTCCGTGCACTCTCTATATCTGCGCAATAACAATCGCAATGTAGTTTGCCGCCAACTTTTTTTTCTTTCTTTCTCTCTCTCTTTCTCGTTAGTGACGGGGCGGTTCGTTTAGTGCGGCTTACCGATCATCGTGGTATTCGGTGATCCTTGAAACTCTATTCGCACCGACTTCGGCGCGTAAACCATGTGCTGCACGTATTCCACGTACTTCAGCAACGCCGCGGTCGCCGCTAAAGCGTAATATCTACAATCGAAATCAATAGACCGTTTCAATGCGCAGTCCACAGTCGTGTCGTTCGTTACTTAGTCCCGCTACTTAATCGATTTCGTTAATATTACTTTTGTTTCACTATTAATTCCACGGTCGAGTACTCTCTCGCGCACAGAGTTCGTACGCGTTCCATGCCGTTCGATTCGTTGAAGTGTGTCCGTAAAATCGGCGTGATGTTGAGCGCGTTGAATTTCTCTTTGATCAATTTGTACAACTTGTTCGAGCAACCTCGACGCTCGCACATTGTTTCGGGCATCAGTATCTGTTTGGGGATAAAACATTATATGACGCAGATTAATGATGATAGTAATGGCAAAACGACGATTATAAATATAAATATAATATAAATATAAATATAATATAGAATATAAATAGGATATATAAAGAATCAGTGCGTATTTTTATATGATGAAATTATACTGCGCACTTACTTCTATTGGATCGAGAATATGAATTTTTGTCAAAGTATTGACGTATGTTTGGCAATCGCTGATTTGACAAAGAATCAAGTACGGATAGTGAAGATCTATCGCTGCCAGACCGACTTCGTTCCTGGCGTCGCCTCGGCCGGCTGTTAACGCTGTCGCGAGAATGCGCATCCGTGAATAGCCGTGAATAAATCATTTGAGAGTAAGGTAACAGCACCAATTTTCGGACACGTATCTAATTCTGGATGTTCTCATTGTTTTGATCTTTGAATACGAGTATTTATATTTTCAACACGGAATGTATATGCATATTCAATATGTATGTATATATATTTTTCATGTTGAAGATTAAATTATGCAGTATTTAAGAACCAAAATAATAAGAATGTACAGGATTAGATACGGTCCGAGTATTGCTACTCTCTCTTTTACTTTACCTCTCATAATTTTATGTTATTTATCATTTGCTCACCGATCACTACCGAAGAACTCACATTGCTGGTTGTACTGATCGATGATTTTGCAGCACTGGTCGATCTAAGCGAAGCGATCACGTGAGAAATAACATATTTTGGCGTGTGAAAGATATCAGAAATAAGAGCGTGACTTGGAAGTAGTTTGTAAACACAAGATTTATAGTTCACCCTCTACTACGACGAGAAACACTTGATAGGTAGGACGTTGTGGAGACGCAAATCTTCTTGTTACGTCCCCAATTATGTCCCGGCGTCTTTGTGTTCACGATGGAACTCGCCGGCCCAGAGCTCGTTGAAGGTTTCGTGAAGTCGGCTTCGAATTCTGTATTCGTACGCGAAAATTCATGAGACGCGTGAGAATCTTAGCTTCGAATGACGAATATCAACATTGACGAATTTCTTAACACTGTGAACGTGCTATTTGCAACACACACAGAGAGAAAAAATACTTAAAAATGTATTTATGTGGAATATAACTACATTGATATACCCAAAGTAACTAAGTCATATCAACCATACATATTACATACACATTACCATTTCATAAAGATAACAATGGTGATACAACTACATTGCTTATACATGGAAGAAACTCTAAGGTTATCATTTATTTAAATATGATTGCCATAACGAAATATTAATTTTATTTTTCGCTTATGCGTACGAGATAATAACCGTAATACTCTAAAAATGATACACTAGCCTTCTTTGCCGCCTGGCTGCAACCAAACTCTATAGGATTTGTATACGAATCTCTCGATCATTGCATTTGTTCTACAGTCCATAACAGAGAGACAGTAGTATTTTTTCGATTGAATTATATATTTGGCAATGTATTTATGTATATATATAACTGTAATGTAACTAGACATTATGTATCATAAGAATTATGCTAGTGAGAACTGCATAGATAAATATGTAACAGCAACTTGTAATACCGTATTAACACTAGATTTACGGGACAATTTGACCGGAGAAATAGATATGTACGACATAGAGAATTTCAAAATTACAAGTCTGAGAAATAAATGAATAATTTATTCGATATATATTCGTTATCATTCCATTAATAAAATCCAACAAAAATTGCTAGAAAATAATAATAATAGTTTCTGTAATTTTGCTCGTGAAATCCGAAACCCGTCAAATTGACGGGTCCCGTAAATCTAGTGTTAATTTAACTTGAAATTGCATAAATTCTCTCTAACCGTAGTATATACGGATATAGCAACTATAACAGTTTTCCCTATGCAACTGAATATTTCTGGTTATGTGCACCATATCTTTTGCTTCGCCGTACACAAATAAACTTTCAAGTAAACTTCAAGTTTTTTTCTCAGTGCATAACACGTTCAACTTGACTTTCAGTAGCCATTACGATCGTTAGAGCGCCGTAGTTTTCGTGTGGCAAGGCGAGGCATCGATACTTACGATGCTTAGGGAAAAGGTTCGTGAATCGTTGCGTGTTTGGCCCTGCGATCCTTCCTCTCGTGTAACCGCGTCGTCCTCTCAACGGAACAGGCTGTATCACGTTCATTTTACGAACGAGAAGCGGCGAGTGAGTGCCCGGCAACTTTACAGCGACGGCGGCACCGCACGAAGTTGTCCGCGCTAAGGTTCGAATTTTTCAAATACGGTGTGTGGCAATCGATCGGCTCCCGATCGACTAACCGCGCAGTTCGAAATTGGTTCGCGCGTCCTCAGGACGCAAGTACAAACGCCTCGACTTCTCAATGATATATTTATTTACAATTTCATTCAATCTTATCGCTCTTATCAATTTCGCGATGAACGTATATTCCGATTAATAATAAATAACACGATCACAATCACTATCCCGCTCGCAATAAATATCGTTTTATCGTCGCCTCTTAAAATTCAGATTTACATTTGTATTTACAGTATAGCGTAATCAAAATCGATTGTCTCTCGGCTATATATATATATATATATATATATATATATATATATATATATATATAT